CGATCGTTTCAGGGCGAGGATATCTTTCGTTTGCTTCTCGAAGCCGGTAAAGATCGCAACATTCTTCTACATATAGCGCAAAATATGCCATCGCAAGCAAGACCAAACATTGATACGGAAATTTTGGCGAAAAAGGCAAACGCTAAGGTAACACCACTGAAACAAGTAAACCATTCCTTTTTATAGAACGCATCGCGGCACATGCGATAAAAAGATTTCAGATAAAGTTTATGGAAATTCGAACAGGTAAGGAGTTTAAACTTTGCGGGACTGTTCGGAGGAGGTGTATTGCACACAAAGTTATGGCTCGTCGACAGAATGCACGTGTACGTCGGTTCAGAGTTCGCTCTCGCAAGTGAAAGAACTCGGCCTAGTCGCTTTGAACTGCAGTTGTCTGGCAAACGATTACGCTAAGATTTTCGATGTAAGTCGGCTGTTTTGTTATCGAAAGGTGCAGCTACGTATAAACAAATCGCGGGACTCACGAGTAGTCCGATCCGGTTCGAATCAAACCAATTCGATCTGTATTTAACCATCGATCCTATACAATCACGGAAATGCTCGCTTCCTCGATAGTATTATATGTATGTCAGATTTTTCGGAATACTTTTTAGATTTACTGGACGGTGGCGGAGAACGGTAAAATACCGCCCGTTTGGCCAGACTCGGTCGATACAAACGTCAATTTAAATAATCCAATCAACTTTACGTTTATGGACAATAGGTATCGAACGTTCGTTGCGGTAAGTATGGTTGGTTTCATATGCATACATTGAATTTGACTGGAACACCGATTCAATATCAAAACGGGAGGCCGTTCAGGTCTGGTTGTGTAATTATTTTAAGTCTGCTAACTACTTAATGCTAACGACAGTTTTGAAAATTACGTATTTCAGAGTGCACCGCCACCGTTCTCGCCAACGGGTAGAACGGACGATATTAATGCTATACTCTATTGCATAGAGAAAGCAGAGAAATTTATTTACATCGCGGTAATGGATTATTTCCCTTTGATGATATACACCCCTAAAATCAAGTACGCATTCATATACATGTATAGATTTTTTCGTCTCGTCTAATTCATCCATTCGTTTGCTGCTTCTGTTACGATTTTAGCGTCAATTAAATTTTCTACGTACACACTACACAGGGTGTTAATGAAAATCTTGCATGGTTTACACAGGGGGTGATAAATTAGGACAAAAATCAAGAACGACGAAATTGCGTTCGAGGCTTCGTTTTCGAGTTGTTAATAATTGTAAAAAATTGAGAGCCGCGTTTTTCAACTGTTTCACGTGTTGGTCTCAGTCATTTTATTTCATTTCATTTCATTTCATTTCATTTCATTTCATTTCATTTCATTCATTAGTTTCACTAGAATTCGCCAGATCATCGAACGAGCACGTGTATCGGCTGAAAAGTGACGGTTCGAATACTTATTATAATTGTAATTTACAATACAGTGGATTCTTACGATATTGCCGTTCGCCGGGGCAGTAGGAGAGGAAATTCTCGAAAACGGCAATGTGTCGAGAGCCCCCTTCGTGGCGACGGCGCGGCGTATGCAACGTCGCGTGGGAGAGCGAATCTGTGTGCGTGAAAGTGCGTGTGTAGGGGAAGCGCCTCACGTGGCAATAGGCCAAGCGGCATTATCTTAAAGAGTCCGCTGTATGTATAAACCATCGCGCAAAACGCATTTCACGTGTATTTTGCCTGTATTTTCGACAATTAATACCTCGGAACTGAAACCACGAACGGAATTTCGTCTTACGTCGTTAGTTTGGCATTTAGAATCCACTCTGTAAAAGTTTCCCACATTTTATAACACATATGCACATACACATATACATATGTATATACATATAAAAAATACATATGTATGCATATCTACATAATGTGTAATGATACCTATTCCGTGACCAGAATATTCTTGGTTTGCACCTTTAAACGGTATAAATATTTAGGTATTGGCCGATAATAGACGACGCTTTGAGAACCGCGGCCATCGAACGAAAAATTCAAGTACGGTTATTGATCTCTTCTTGGAAGCATTCACGTGAATCTGAAGTTTCTTTCTTAAGGTCGTTGGTCGAGTTAACCGGCAGTTACCCAGGCGTTAAAATTGAAGTGGTCAGTATTTTGATGCTTTAAAGCCTTAAGATATGATCCACCGCGCACGCATGTTATGGGCATCCATCGAGTAACGTTGCAATACAATCGCTACAATCTGTTATTTCAGAGAAGATTCATAGTTCCTACAAACCCAGATTTCAATAGGATACCGTTTTCGAGGGTGAATCACAATAAGTATATGGTGACCGACATTGCCGCGTATATAGGAACTAGCAATTGGTCTGGAGATTATTTTACAAACACTGCAGGTAATTATTGTCTGGATTGTATTAATTCGTGTGTTCTGTGAAAAGACAGACATGTCTACGAAATAATGCACAAGTTTACGCCGATATTGTATTGTAGGTGTAGGGACCGTATTCGAAAGTATCGGCGATCAAACTTCGAGTAATCTCAGGCAGCAACTGGAAAACATTTTTCATCGTGACTGGTACTCTGAATATTCTTACAACCTGAATCGAAGCGTACCAAATGAGAAACGATTGATACCAAATTCCATTCAAGACGATTACTATTGACGATTGTCAGGCTATGTATTAGCGCGACAACGATGACTCTGTTAACGAGTATTCGACCAATCAGAAAAATGAAAATCATTTCTGGTTGGTTAGCATCGCGACTCGGACATCTTAAATGTCACGTCTCTCGTCATTCGTAAACTTAAACTTTTTTCCTCTTCTACGAAATACTTGGTTATGGTTGTCCGAACTCTGCAAATATCGCCTTCAAGCGGACGTTTTATTTGTTCCGCATGCGGCGCCGCGCACACACTCGAGCGCGCTCCTGTGTTTTCCTCCCTTCCTTCCTTCCTTCCTTCCTTCCTTCCTTCTTTTCTATTCTTCAACCATCCATGTATTTCTTCATCTCCTTTTTTCTGTTCGTCTCTTTTAAAAGATTCTCCCCTCCTCCCCGTTCGGTCTGTCTTTTCTCTCTCATGTGTAGTTATTCGCCAATCACGAGAGACGTACACAACTTAAATCTTAAAGCTATGTGTAAGTAATCTTACATAACGACGAACGTCCGTGTGCCTTCGTTCAAGTGCCCTTGCAAATGTTTTCTAAGAGAGATCGGCTCGGGACGATACTACTTATTATAGATATATACATATATACATCCTTCCGTATATGCCTATCTATATGTACGTACGTACATAATGCCGAAAATTGATAAATCTGTAGAACACCGTTAAAGTAAGAGATCGAATTTCATTGATGGTCAATTGAAATCCAAGTTCTAGGATAACTGTCGATTCAGTCGATTGTGCCTTTTCTATACTTTCAAACTTTTGCAATATTTCAAGTATAAAAATATGCGACTAAAAATTGTTACATGTTCGTGCAGTTGTACGTCACTAGAAATTACAGATTGAATTGTAAATATGAGGACTATTTGCGTATGTATCCGCAAAAAGTCTGCCGCGCGTGTTTTATGTTACGTAAATTGCGCGTAAAAACAAGTGCGCCTTTTTGCTCCAGAAGGACTCGGTAACCACGCCATTAACATACTGATCATAATTTTATGTTTACGTGCTGTAATATCAACCGGTAGATTTATCTTTATCAATTAGGTCTCTATAAAAGATCGTTCCATTATACATGTATTTTCTAAAAAGCATTTTGCGTGTATCTATATATTGTTTTTCAAGATTTAAATGCTTCGTCGAATTCGCGTCTATGTACATCTCTTGTAGCATGGCTCGGTAAGAGCTTAACGGGCGAAGTAGTTGCATTAATTTTTCTACTAGACGCGTTATAAATTAAGAGAGATGATTCATCATGTATATGTATATACATATATATGTACACTGTGCATATTACATACACATATACCTATGTATTGGAAGCACATATACCCGTTTGCATTGTTCCAATCGCACGAATATTGCCTGGAAGATTAAATTAAGTTATTCGTAATATCATGCGTGACATATACATACAGGTATATTGTACATTGTATATGTACATACGTAGCGCAAATACAGCCCACACTATCCTAACGAATAGTTAAAGATCGACAGGCAGACATTTCATAAATGTCAATCTAATCTCTAATTCCGATACACGTAATAGAGTTGATCGTAAAACGAATTTCGTTGCACCACATTCTCTTTCGTTCTTCACGTTCGCATTTTTTACCATCCCCATTATCTCATTGTCAAGTTACGCCTTCCTGTTATTTTTTATGTAATTAATTCTTATCTGGTACTTTTATAATTTGTTTGTGCTTCCTTTGTATCAATGCATGTATACGCACACACTTTTGTAATAAAGAAGAAAAAAAGAACATAAACCTGTGAACTGTATCTTTGTTGTTCATTTACGGAACGAAACGTACACGTGCCTTTAGCACGAATCGTCGAAGGAATTCGAAAGATGCTCGTCCCTCGTTTCTGCCCACTGACAATTTACCCGCTGCGTGGCAACAGCAGTATATGTATGATACATACATACTGTACCTAGCTAACACATTACATATGTAACAAGGATAACAGGAACTACATAATACGAGTGTAACAACTTGCGTCGAAATTTGTTACGGTGCACCACACGATAAGTAATCTCGAAGTGCATTCAGCACTCATGTTTTTGGATCGTGGAAACATTTATGCATTAGATTTCTTGATTAGCTTCTAACAGTTAATTAATAATGACAGTTTATGGGACATTTATGCGGAATGGATAGAAAAAATCACGATCGTGTTTTGGTAGGGGAGACTGGGGCTAAAAGTTTCGAAGGTTATATTTTAAAAATGAAAAAAGATATCGTTGTGCTTTCAATTGTTTTCGTCGTGTGGCCCGAGGCCCGATCACGCCAATCTGTCGTCCATTTTGATGTCGGTGTCTGTGAGCTGTTGAAAAATTACAGTACCATTGCACAAGATAACTGGTGGATGCGTAATAATCCTGGAAAAATCATGTCGGTGTATGATATTCCAGGGATTGTTAAATACGCTTGGCCCTTGGCATCGGTTCCCAACAACGTGATTAATGCATCTAAGAAGACCGGAATATGTTCATATAAGAAAAATATATTCACAGACAAGGACTTTGCTCCATCTCTTACGTGACCGACCGTCATTTAGTTGAGAACCAGGAACCAGCTTTCATAATGCATCGGAACGTCGAAAAGGAAAACGAACCCTAACCACGGCCTTCGAACTTTCGTAACATAACCATAGGACAATCAATTTTTACTGGCATCGTTGAAGATCCTATTCTTGACCTCTCCAGGAATGAAACAGTACCAGCAACATTTTCACCTGAAATAGTTCGGCCTCTACCAAAAGCGACACCGAGACAGGAGAAACCTATACGTCGCCGTATTAGAAAATCAGCTGTCCTGACTGACACTCCGGAGAACGATGCATTGCTGTTGAAGAGCAGTGAAATAAAAATAATAAAAAAAAAGGAAAAACGAAGAAATCAATAGAAAGACTAAAAACAACGGAAGTGTAAAGATCAAGCTGAGCGAAAGATTCTCCAAGAAAAAAATGAAATTGATGATGAGGAAGAGAACTTGGAATATTATTGTATTATTTGCTGTGCCTCATATTCGTATTAAAAATCAGAACCCAGCGAATAATGGATTGAATGTATAGTGCGTAAGAACTGGGCTCATTCCAAATGTACAAAAAATATAAATTCAGTATTATACGTTTGCTCCAAACTGCGAATTCCGGGGAGTCGAATGACGATTTTTCATTTTTCAAGATTGAAAAAGATTATATTGTTCTGGTTCTCTTTTAAAGATATCTCTATATTTTGGTTATTTTGTACCTTAATAAATAAACATTGTTAATAAAATTGTGTTTTCATTCATCAGAAAGTGAAATATTTCATTAAAAGGCAACTCGTGTAGTTCTTATAATAACAACAACATACCCCGCAAAGGGGCAAGAAGTTCCGCTTTGACCAGCAATAAATAAATGACTTTCTATGAAAAACCTATTACAGGTATGTATATAAATGGGGTAATGTACTTAAAATCCTAAAATATGATAAATTTCCCAATAAAGTAGTCAGCAATAACGAAGAGAATAACTACATTATTTTCCAGTCATTTTTGATGTTTTCTCAAAATCGGAACTTTTAGCCTCGGTTCTCCCTACGTATGTAATGTGTTCAGTTTGCCAGGACTATTGCTAGATAGTTCACGTTTTTCTTCCGTTTCTATACAGATCGATGTTTATAAAATACGATATCGGAATAGTGAAATAGTGGATACTGGGTCGTCCAATGAGTTGATGCAGTTTTCATTTCATTATTAGGAGATAATTTATCTGAATAACGTCTGATCAATTTCCTTTTTTTGCTTCGGTTATGCGGATTAATGTAATCACTGTCGATTTTAGTATTTAGAAGAATAAAAAGAAAATTTCTCAGTTTACGTTTTGCCTACCGATCGTGTTACCATTATAACAAAAGCAAACAAACAAAAACAACATCAACAAATTTTCCACAATATTAGAAGCACAACAGTTGGCAAAAAGTCTAATAACGACAGCCGGATGAGATGTAAACGATGAAAAAGGTAAAACTATGTCTGTCGGAGAGATCATGTTACGTTGCGTTGAGAGAAGTTGAAAGAAAGTTAACGCGTGCGAAATATCTACGTTGCGTTGTTAACGACGGTGGTGTACAGTTCTTACTGACGTCGAAACGTGTTTGACGTTTAATCGTTCGATTAATATAAAGCCAGTTATAAATTGTTTGTTCGTAGGAAACACGAATTCCATGTATATGCGTACGTGTTTCGTGACACTTGGAAAAATGAATCAATTCGAAATGTCGGAGGGAAAAGTGGTAGACGTGGTTCGTTGTTACGGACGATGATACGTAATTGTCAGTGTAAATATTGTTTCTTCGACTCTTGATCGGTCGGTTTCGAAAGGCTGCGCGAGAGGCTGTCGTGTTTTGTCCAGGATAACTACTCGACCAGTCGAAAACTTGTCGAGCAGCGAACACTTTGGCGGATGCTTCGGTCACCTCAGTCAGACGGGTTTGCGCGCGCGCGCGCGCGCGCGCGTCCCTCCACCCGACGAACTTTTACCAACGAAACGCGGTTTCGTGCGCATTTGCTGTTTATTTAGTCGATTTAGTACACTCTTGTTCGGTCTCTTTCGACTCTATGTATAGCATCGAATCGAAAAATTATTCCCACGATATTCTCGGACGTGTTGATTTTTTTTCCCATGCGAGAACGGTAACGGTAATCAATTGATCTCGAAAGAATTCTTTTTCGAGGTTTGTTCTTGCAACTTGAGATGAAAAGTTTGAAACGATGAAAAGACAGATTAAATATGCAAGGAGGGATAAATAAAAAGAAAATGCAGGTGGCAGAGATTGAAAAAAGAAGAAGAAGGCTAAGAAGGAGAAGGAGAAGAAGAAGAGGAAAACGGAAAATAAATTTGCGGAAGGGAGGTGCTGAATGGGGGGTCGAACGCGATCCAACTGCCAAGGAAGGGGAAGGAGAAGGAGAGTCAAAGGGTAAAGGGAAGGGGTAAGACAATAAGGAGAGTAGAAGGAGGAGAAAGGAAAAGCGAGACCAACGACGGTACGAGTGACAATTCCGAATTGTGTATCGCTTGCAAAAGACTCGAGCTGGCATTAGAGGAGGATCAGTAAATTCGCGCGAAGAGAAAGTTTCCAAGACACTTGGCGTTCGATCGCTCGTTCATTGGTTCGTTGGTGCGTTCGTTCTTCCGTTTCTTAATCTACTTATCAGATTTGGAAATTTCGTTTCTCCTTGTATTGTGTGTGGTTGGTTCATTGAACTAATATTTGCTGGTTCGGCAGTCTCGTTCACGTTTAGGAACGTCGCGCGAGCATTAATTTCACGGAACATCGGATAAGGTCAGTAAAACTGTAACATTTTGTCAATTATTTTTAAACTAAAGTAAATTATGACGATTGCAAAAGTACGGATAGAGAATTCGGTTCGTGGAACCGACGACAATTTTTTCGTAAATTTTTATAAACAATTGGAGTCGTACATAAAACTCCGTTGATACATAGAATACATACATGTGCATATGTATTCCGACAGGCTTTCACGGCACGCGTTAAGATGTGCAACTATTTTAATGAATAGCAGTGAAAACGGGATGTGCAGGTTAAATTTGTACAAAACAGCAGGTATACACGAAGAAGCAGATTGTGTCGCTCGTTTATACATATGGATTGTATCTATTCCCAAGTGATTGATAACGACATGGTCATTTCGTAATGCGTCCATATCATGCAGCTAAAGAGGGTTGAAACGGTCGAGCTTGTAGACATAGAAGGCGTAGGTATAGTCGACGGTTGTATCGTGGTTTTAGGAAAATGATACCTACCGAATGCACGAGAACCTCGCACGCTAAAAGAATTCCTCTTTTACTTATACGCTACCTGGGCCAGACCCGCAAAGGGAACATCCATTTATGGCCTGGCTGATCGTGAGTTTGCTACCACGCTTAATCGCTATCGTCGGTTATACGAACGAATACGAAACGAATACGAAACGAATACGAAACGAATACGAAACGAATACGAAACGAAACTAAACGAACGTATGTATAGCTACAATACGTACCAACAATACATAGATTGCCTTTCGTATCAAAGAGCCAACCACAAACGGAATACTTTGATTTTTGAGATGTCGTTAATCGTTTCTTCGGCGATCCGTTAAAAGTCAGGAAGCGAGTAAACTTGCAAGACCATGATCGTTGGTACATTAGGACGTAACGGTTGCTCGTAAAAAAGTATCACACTCCATAGAGTTACGCGTGTACCGATGTTTTAGCATTTCGACGTTTCGGCGTGTTGGTGCTCCGAAATTCTCCGTACCGAATCGAATATTTACTGGGCGATGTATACCGTTATCCGTATAACGTGGTGCTCGCGCAGCATCCGCACCGTTATTTCATTCGAGGCAGACCGTGTCAGTTTTTCGATTTATCACCGACCTGTGACTCCATATTTTTCGTTTCGTTACGTTCTTTCGATTCTCGAATAGATCTTGCATCCAAAGACAGCTTCGTTTCACTCGCACCAACTGAATACGGTAGTATAAAATAGTATAAAATAGTTGGTAAACTTAACAATAAGCCCGTTGGAAAACGGATAGTAGATCTTTGTAAAACAGGAAATAAACAGCGGTAACCGAGTAAGCTCAGGGAACCCGGAACAGTTAGTTGCATCGTCGCAACCTTTGCACCAGGTTTTCTTATTCTGTGCACTCGCATTCGACCGATAGCGTAGAGTAGGAAAAGATGTTTCGCGATCGGTGGGGAAACGTAGCCCGCGTCGGAACCGGTAGAGATCATCAGGGGAAAAATACTTCCGCGTAGTTGCACTCTGTTCGATTGTATTATTCTTTTGATACGGACGGACCGTTTCGATTGCACAGTCTTTGGTTTCCTTATTCGGTAGCCGAATCCCTCGGAATCGGTGTTCATTTAGCAGGAGGAAAAATTCGAGTACGCAGAAAAATGTTCTCCATCGCGTCGTTTGCAATATCACGACAACACTCGATATCCATAGAACGGTTTTTTCGATTCGAAACACGAGAGACGCACGGACAAAGTTCACTATCGACTTTCACTCTGCGACGCGCGGTTTCTCTCCGGTTAACTACATAATATGTACCTACATACATCGTACTCGGGAGCACATGTGTGGCGGAACCACTCGAGTAGCAGTTTCCAGGATTGGTATGCGGTTAACGCGTAGGTATAATACTTGTCACACTGTCCGTTTCTATTTTTCAGTTTTTACCGTTCACTTACGAAAGAACGCGCGGCACGGTAAGACCGGTAAACAACCAGCGAAAAACGAACCACAACGAAAGCGATGGTGGAAGTTTTATTGGAATCGTGCGGCCAAGACGTGGCGGTGCCGGAAAACGGTTGCAATCTAAACGAGAACACAATAGTATGCTCACCACGGCAGGAACGCGATTGCCATTTCACCACGGACGAGTCGAACCTCACTCCCATTCAGAATTTTTACAATGGACAAAGTGTCTTTGTAACAGGTGGTACCGGATTCATGGGAAAGCTACTGATCGAGAAGCTTCTCCGTGAGTGTCCTGGGATCTCGTTTATTTATTTGTTGGTACGTCCGAAAAAAGGAAAGGATGTGCATCAACGTATCGAAGAGATCTTTGATGATCCGGTAAGAATTCATGCATACTACTACTTAAACTACCATTAATCTACTGCTTGTCATCCGTTTTACCAAACACGTTCCTTCGCAACTTTTCGCCTTCTTTGACTCCTATGTACTCCCTCTTCTGCCGATAATACTGCGAATCGAAGACACTACTATATCGACTTTCTCCCAACGTACCTATACATAGGTATAAAGCGACAGCAGTCGCCGATGCCGATGCCGATCCCGATCCCGATTCCGATTATTACCCTTTCTACGGGTCCTCTACATACATATACTCCTCTCATATGTCCACGAGCAATATACATACCTCTTTTAAACCACGTTAAACCTTGCATCGGGTCTTACTACCCTCGTATAGATACATGCATGTACATATGTATACGGATTATGATCATCTCTTATTTGCTTGGCCAGCTTTTTAGCAAACTGAAAGAAAAGCAGCCAAAATTTAGACATCAAACTGTCGCAATAGCTGGAGACTGTAGTCTGCCCGGCTTGGGTATCTCTGCTACCGACAGAGCCATGATAACACGCGATGTTTCGATCGTTTTTCACGTCGCGGCGACCGTCAGATTCGATGAAAAGATGAAACTCGCTGTGCCCATCAATGTTAGGAGTCCGAAGGATGTGATTGATCTTTGCAAAGAAATGTCTGGTTTAAAGGCAAGTGAATGCCATCCAAGAAGATACGCGAATACATACATACATATATGTATGTGTATATGTATATGTACCTAACAAGAAATTCACTACTTACAGTCATTCGTACACGTGTCAACGGCATACGCCAATTGTCCGTATACATTGATCGAGGAGAAGGTATACGATCCACCAATGGAGCCGGACAAGTTGGTCACTCTGATGGAATGCATAGACGAGAAACTGCTCGAAGAAATAACTCCGCGGTAAGCAAATATTTCTCAAGGCCTCGTTTTTCGTTGTGCCAGTTCGTTTTCTCTTCGACTATTCGATTATTCTTACAGATTGCTGGGCGCCTGGCCGAACACGTACACTTTCACAAAAGCAGTAGCAGAAAACATCGTGAATAAAAGGGCCGATGATCTGCCCGTCGGAATATTTCGTCCCGCGATTGGTTGGTATTTCATGACGATTTCGTTTCATTCCATTTTTAGTTATCTCGCCCGCACGCAGGACAACAATCCAGTCGGGCGGATACAAATTAGAAGGTCGATTCGTTAAAACCTGAATTTTTAGTGATATCCACGTACCGAGAACCGTTACGAGGATGGATCGATAACTTGTATGGGCCAACTGGAGTAGTGGCTGGGGCAGGTACCGGAATTCTGCGATCGATTCACTGTGACGGTTCCATACAGGCTAACGTTGTACCTGGAGACTTAACAGTGAACGCTCTAATAGCCTGTGCTTGGGATGTAGCGAATCGTCACAGGTACCTATATCGTCCAAATACAAACTTTTCATGTTTCTCCCCTCTTCTCTTCTTCATCTTTATACTTTTATAGCTTTATACCGTTCCTCTACACTCTCTAAATTCGCCATTTCATTCTTGAGAATGGTTTCACGCATTTACAGATCTGCGACTACCAAGGAAGAAAAATCGAAAGATATTCCAGTTTACAATTACGTTTCGAAAGACAATCCCATCACATATGACCAGTTAAAAAACATGTCCGAAAAGTATGGTTTCGAATTTCCAACTGGCAAGGCGATATGGTACTACAGTTTTCGCAACACCAAGTATAGAATAATTCACTTTTTCTACGTTTACTTGTTGCATCTACTTCCGGCGTTACTGATCGATACCGCTATGCTTTGCTTAGGCAAACAACCCAGGTAAATCTCACTTTTCGATACGTCTCGATGCCCTCCCACCAACTTCTTTCTGATGCTTCGCTTTTCTATTACTCATATTTTCCTAACTCACGATGCATTGTGTCGTATTTTTCAAAAACATACGCATATTTCTTTCATGGAAGAATGCTCAAGATCTACAAAAAGATACACAAATTTATGGACGTGCTGAATTATTTTACAACAAAAACCTGGAAATTTTCAAACGACAATTTTAAAGCAGTCTTAAATAAAATGAGTCCGGAGGATCGCGAAAATTTCGCCTGCGACATCGCTAGGATCGACTGGGATCATTACTTTCGAACTTACGTGCGAGGAGTTCGTGTCTATTTAATAAAAGATCCCCTGGATACTCTTCCACAAGCACGCGTTAGATGGCAAAGGTAACCAAACAACATGTATCAGATTGTATTACGTTTCTTTTCTGCGAATCGAAACAACTGCTAAAAACCTGTTCATATTTCTACTTTTGATTCTCCTTTTGTTTTTTTTTGTTTTTACAGATTATACTGGATCCATCAAGCGTTGAAATTGATTCTCGCTTATGGTATGCTCAGAATATGTTGGTTGACTATGTTTCACCTTTTTCGGCTTTGTACGTGGCAGTCTGCGTAGCATCAATGCATACGTTTATTAATACAAATACATATAAATTTATATGCCGTGGCGTGCGAACCTAGAGGCGCGCGCACGCGCGCGCGTGTGTGTGTGTGTGTGTGTGTGTGCGTGCGTGCGTGCGTGCGCGCATGTGTGTTGTACACTCGGGAACGTGAGTATTCAACGTCGAGTGGATTTACAAATTATCGTATCGAATCGAATCAAATCGATGTCTCTTACCGAATGAATGCGAATGGTGATCAATCGTGGTAAAAATCTTCAAATGTTCTAAACAGCTCGTAAGGAAGAAATGAAAAGACGAGAAAGACTAGAATTCGCGAAACAACTGTTCCGGCAATGTTGATTGTCGTTTGAACCTGTGGCGACGTTTTCTCTTACCTTTTATTAACAGCTCCTGTTCCTTTCTCCTCTTATTCTCTTTCTCTGCTTCTTCTTCCTTTCACGCGTCTTCTTGTAGGAGAATTTTTTTAATCGCGTAAACAGCGCTCAACTTCTGTGGCGCCTATACGCGTACACTTGTTATATACTATACACTTCCATTTTTTAATAAAGGAGTTATTTTTTTTACAGCAGACGAGTTGACACGATTCACTTTTAGTCTCTTATAAACACGGCACTTGCTCGAAATTTTATTTCGCGATTCACGAGCAACTTTTGTCGCTAAAAATCAAGAGGCAAAAAACAAAACCACTCGCGCACCCAAAAGTCTTTCGATAAATTAAACTTTTGTTGCACTTACATCGTATCTATGGAAATTTTTCGCTGTGTTTCTTGAATCGTAGAGTCGGCCCACCATTTACCCAGGAAACATTTCCTCGTGAAATCATTCATGTAACGTCTTTTTCTCTTAGTTATTTTTCTTCCTTTTTTCCTGGTCATCTCTGGTATGCTATTTGGAAGGTCGTACAAGAATGTTAAGAAGTACGTCACAAACAGTATTACGCATCGCGTCTTGCATTTTGCATCTCGCATCTCGACGATCTACACTCGCAAAACTACCACAAGGCGTGTACGAGTATCAATAGTCAGTTGTTCGTATAAGTATAAGAGATGAGTGAACACTGATCGCACGTGACAAATTTCTGATGACAGATACAGCGACAAATTTACCGGAGCTCTCGCTGCGGCCGATATTGGTTTTTTGAAAACCATGAACATGGACAGGAATCGCACAGCAGAGTTAATTCTAACTGATTATATCGTGATCGCTCTAATTGTTACTGCTTGGGCAATAGCCAAGAAACGTTGCAGGTTACTGAAAACACGTACGTGAGACGATACGATACGATTTGTCGTACGAATGTTACACAAGGAACCCTAATGCCGCACAATACGATCGCGTCGTATCGTTCCAGAAACGTTGCACTGTACTTCAGCCGGTCGAAGCGACCTGGGTCGTACGATCAATTGTACGACAAATCGTCTCGTGTAAGTATGGGGCACTTAACACGGACGCCCGACCCAACTTTCTTTCATTTCGTCTCGTCTCGTCTCGTCTCGTCTCGTCTCGTCTCGTCTCTTCTCTCCTCATCTCTCCTGTCTACTACGTATTTCCTTCTCAATTCTCCATCATTCGCATTCTCGATCGTTGTCAACCGAAACCTTGTTTGTAGGACCGGAACGAATATTCTTCCTGTCTACAACTACCATTCTTCGTGGGAGAACAGCATCAGTTGGGATCGCTACACGGATTTCGCTGTGAAGCACGGAAGACAAGTCCTAAGCGTGCGTAGCGTTTGGTGCTATACCTTTACCGCTGCTAAAAGTATATACGCGTCTTTTATTCTGATCACATTTCTTCGCTTGTTACCAGCTATACTTGTCGATACTGCGCTGATCCTCTCTTGTAGGAAGCCTAGGTAATTATCATCTTTTCCTGTTCGAAACCTAACCCAGCCTTCATCCTGTAGAATTCTGAGAATTTACAAAAGACTCCACAAATTCTCCACCGTAACCAGTTACTTTGGTACACGTGATTGGAATTTATCTTACAACAACACCAGGTCTCTTTGGGATACTCTTTGTCCAAAAGATACAGCGTTATTCACGTTCTCGATGAAAAAATTCGACTGGGACGATTTCATGTACAAATGTGTACGTGACTTGAGGACACACATTTTTAAGGACGATCCTGGTACGATACCTCGTGCAAAACTTCGTATGACCAGGTATACATATGTATAATATGTAATAACATCAAAAAACGCTGTCACATTTCCAACACAACCAAAAGAAACAAGGCAAACATTTCTCCGTTATCGTTGACAGATGCATTTTTAATCCATCCAGCTATATGTACATATGTCATATCTTCTCTTTTTCAGATTCATCATCCTTCACGGTTTTCTCAAGTATATATCACGTTCTTCGTTGCAATTTGGCTTCATTATCGTGTCGCCCGTTCGCTTTTCGAAACTTTCGCTGCACTTGGTACAAGAATCGCTAATACATTTTAATGTAACCTTTTCTACCTTTTTCTGTATGTTTCCTTACACATTCAAATAGCCGTAAACAGCAATCGACTCTTATATGTAATAAAAATAAACCTCTACAATTACTTTTGTAATCAAGTCCGAATTAAGATTTTTTGTGGCATTGGGCTATCAGATTTTCGGGGTCCTCTCTTGGTTAAAAAGCGTGGGGTGGGGGGGGGATTTTTTGTAACACAGCACAACAAAATACATAAATCTTCAAAAATTGAAATTTATTTTAAATAGAATTAAATAACATTTCATCATAAAAAAATGGAAGGTACAGAACGGAACGTGGGGCCCGGGGCTACAGCCCCCCCCCCTCAGATCACCCCTTGATCCAGCGCTGTTCGTACTTTTATAATACATACATATGTTTCTCCTCTCACCATGTCTGCTGTTGTTGCATTCTGCCATGAGGATAAATACATCCGTGTAAATGTATCGTCAGACTTCAATAAAATTGCACGGCAAAAAAGGAGAAGAAAATATGACGCAACATCATTTTCGCTTTCCTTGAACACTTTTGAAATTTTCAACTATTACTGAAGATAAACATTACGCATGGAATAACATGGCACCATATGTACATACATATTTACATATGTATTATGTATCACAAGATTCTATGCTTCGTTATTTTTAGAACAGTAGGGACTCATTTAAAAATGGAATCATAACCTGTGACCAAAAATAAATGCTATCACGGAGAGTATTCTACAGTTCGTTCGCATAAACGGTCTACCAACTAAAATTAAGCACTAAATAGACATTGATGCGAAAGCAACCCGAGTTGGTCGATAGACGTATACCTCCTATTCGTAGTTTTTCACGACGACAATGCTCGGTCACGTACGACGCAAACCACTATGTCCGTTGCGAACTATGAAATTCTATCATATCTGCCATGCTGGCTAGACCTTTCGCCAACAGAGCATGTATCTATATGTACACATATATGTATGTACATGTTTATCACTTTGTTCGTCATTCGAGGCTTTTCTTATGAAATTAAACAGTTCCCAATGGAAAAACACTAATCGCAGTATTACAAAAATTAATCTGCATGAAAATTGATAATTTTGTAAGCATTGATTGCACCGGTTAATATCCCATTCGAAAAAAGCTATTAACACTCTTCTAACAGCGAACATTTCGATCGAATAAAAAATGAATTTAGAAAAAAAAATAAAACAGCATTTCCATTAAAATCTAAAAGAACGGCAACTTCATGTGGTATGACATAATATTATATATACATACATATAATAGAATCGAAATTCAAGGATTAAGTATCTTATAATATGGTGATGTCAAAAATTCTTCATTTGAACATATCTATGTATATGGTAATATTGTAAATCTACTAACCGAGTGTCTGCGTTTAGAGACCTCATTGTTCAGTATTCTCGACGATTCAACGATTTTCGTAGTTACTTCTCAGTTTGCTCAAGAGATAGGACGAAAGAGGGCACAAAAAGGTAACGAAACGATGCATGACAACAGTCCGATGATTGAATACGAATAATTGACGATGTAAAACATTTTCACGGAGAATGTGTCTCGCTATTGCCATGTACATACTGACTGCCACTTTCGGAATACTTTGGAACGTATTCATAGCAATCGGTATATTCTTTTTGACGGTCCTCGGAAAAGCGGTGGAACATATTTCCTATTTAATGACATACCACCAATCACGAAGAGAAATTGACGCCATTCTTCAAGTTCCCCCCGTGTCGACAACACATACTCTTCCACCATTTTTCGAAGAAGGCAAATCGTATACCATTTTCACAGCTGTTCCACTACTCTTCAGTTCATCGAATGTACATTTCTTTTGTCCACTACAGAAACAGAAGCAAACAAGTAAAATCAGAGTGCAACATCATAAGCTTTATTCCTGCAATATCAAAATTTTTTAACGGAAACTGACGAGTTTGGATTTCTACCGTAACCAACGTTCAATCAAGAATTATACGAATACGAAGGTTGTGTCGATCACTTCAAGTTCCATTCAGAAACCGTCGCAGTCAAACGTGTTGCCGAAGCATTTAACTTTTCGACCATCGCTCTATAAATCGTCCATGTTTCATTTACATACAAGGTAATCTATTAATCAGTTTAATGTACGCGCAATAAATCACTTGATTAACGTTCCACTGTTTCATTATTGTAGTTTATTCATTTTTCATTTCATGTTCATAAAAACCATGTAATTAGCTAATTTCTATTTAACCATAATGCCTAAATATTATGCGTCGATCCTTATATGTATCTTGGAAAATACGATTTCTATTATACCTACCTTCGTTATATGTATAGATAGACATTTTAGAACCTTTAATTACTCAACACAGCATTGTTATTACTCGTTAGATCATTGTGCCATTTGTTTTGTGCATCATTTTAAAATTTACTTAATACTGAACAAAGAATTAAAGAATTTCAGGTAAATAAAATCTCACATTTCTACCCTAACCTTTGGATCAATGGATATATACATATTGGAACAATGTATGTCACATTTTATGCTTTTCTCACATTTCAATCAGAAACTGTTTCATATCGTACAGAATACAGAATACAGAATAAATAGAACTCATCCACAGCAAGTCTATGCATAGAAGCAATTTTATTTAATAAAAAAGTGACATAATAAAATTTATTTGTTGTATACATAAGAATTTATGAAAATTATCCTTTTACTACAACACAGTACCTTAGTTTTTTGTTACAAAAATACGTACTGTCTGTCATTATACTAGTCTCACGGTAGAAGAAGCGCAAGGCATGCGCTAACGCATTTTCATATTTTGGACGGAGTTTAATAGAAATGGACGGGCAGTGTCGTAAATTGACCAAGTATGTCGCGTTTCAATCTATCATGTTCAGATTAGCATTTCGATATTTTACATCACGCTAGAATCTCCTTCTCTCGTATCGAATGCCCAGAAACATTTTCTCGTGAATATATTGCAGTGACTGAACTCGCTGTATGTATTTAATTGGCTGGCATCGTCGATACCGCACTGTGGGGTGTCGTCGGCCGTGAACCAGCGATAGATTGAGTGGTAGATGCATTCAATGACTGCATAGTGCCTATCTACAATTCAAGTCCACCAATGGTTCGTATTAGAAAGTAAAAGAAAAGAACTCGTAATGCAGCCAAAAGAGAATACAATTAAGAACAGTATTACTATACAAAATATTTGATAGAAAACTTACTCTTAAATGTGCAAGGTCCTCTAATCTTGTAAGATCACACAACTCCACGTACAGAGAGTACACAATTAACCATCCATAAATGGAGAAACAAACAAATATAGTCCACAGAAAACACATTATGATATTATAAGCAAATATCATGTCGTTTACTGTACTAAAGAATACAAAAGCAAACAATCTGAAAAGAGTGAAAGCTGCAAAACTGTACAACCAAGGTACCATTTTACGTTCATATTCCTTTCGTAAAGCAACTATCAACATCAATGAGGATGCAAAAACAGTTATTCCACCAAGCATGGAGAACAAAGCAAAAACTACAAGAGCATTGCGAACTGAAATAAAATATTCAATCAAAGTTTTACACACAGATATCTCCTGTACTAATTCTATGAAATCTCTAAACAAAATTTCTCACCATGCTGATTACCCACATACACAAATTCATATGATATGATATAATAGCCGTAATGCGTTGAACCTGGTGCTGCTTGAGAAAGGCAATAGAGATCAAATATCGAAGAACAGATTGTAAAAACAGCTAAACTCTATAATAAATATTATTGGTTACTGTACACTTGTTTCAGTGAAATATGTAATCATTGGACATTGTAATACCTACTAATGAAAATATTGCTGTGAACATGGCACCTCTTTGAATGTCAAGTATATAAGCATGTGTCAAAATTGGCTTCTGGTACCAGGGTATTTTGACACTACGTGCTGATCGCGAAGATCTTAAATTCGCACTACTACGCGTGGTGACATGTGAATATACCGAAGGCGTGCCCATGCTAGGAGATTTCTTTCCGTAATTCATCCTTCCGTTTCGTTGATACTTCACTTTTCAGTTCGAATCCGACGGATAAACGTAATTCTTTTTAAATCCTTCTTAATACGTTTCTGGTTTTCATTCAACGTTCACTCTATTTAGTTCTTTATGCTTTTACACGTTTTTGATTAATCATTCTCTCCGTATCACGCATCGAGCTGCAAATTCAATCAAAATGATATATTCTCATGCTGCGTCCAGAAAGGTTAAGCCTTATATAGGAATGGCGTCAACATTTCTACCAAAAGTTATGTTTCGTAACGTTTTCAGAAAATACTATCTACAAACCTATACACAATATTCGAAAATTACACACAGTTACTTCTACGTCCGCGGGAAAGTTTGATCTATTCTTTTATAAATGTAAACATAAAGTCACGATTATACATACCGATCCACGCGCAGTTGATCACAAGCCGACGCCCGACTATTTAAATCAATTTATGTAAGTTCTTTAAATCGTTTATCAACCGAGGAGAAGCCATAGACGTATAATACTTACACAGACCGCGCGTTCTGAATATCTCCCATATCAACATACATGTACACCCACGAGCAAACTCGGCTTCCGTTAGGGGAAAAAGTGGCGTAAGAAAAGAGCTTCCTACCATTTAGCAAAATTTATTTCAAGTACTCGCCTACCTCACTTTGTTCCCTAGCGGAAGCCGAGTTTGCTCGTGAGGGTACCCTCGCATGCAAACTCGGCTTTCGCTAGGGGAAAAATGACGTAGAAGAAACGTCTCCTTATCACTTCGTAAGTTTATTTTAAGTACTGAAATAGATGCTAAACCAAATGTTAATTTGGTACAAATTTCAGTAATTCCCGATACCAAATGGTAGGAACTTGTTTTTCCTTATAATATCCCCGTGCTGCTTTCATCAAATTATTTTATCCGAAACATTTTTCATTATCATCGACGGTTTCGAAAATAATCACGGGGATCGATTTAAATGACTCCCTTCGTATTTAGTCAGGTGCACGTAGGACAATTGGTTAATTTTAAATGAATCTCGCAATAACGCCAAGGAAACAGAAAATATTAAGTAAAACATATATGAATATAATTTATTTAGAAAAGAAACGAGTAATTATGCAATGAAAATCAAACAGAGAGGGCACACCTAAAGCCAAGATTTCCAGACGACGTATCAGGTGTATTTTGACTTCGAGCTGCGCATCTGTATCTAAAACAATAGCTTTTGTGACAAAGGTAAGAGCCACCTTTCTTTACTTTGTCCGAACCGTGAGATGGGCCACTCTAGAAGTATTATATTTCACTTTGCGAAGGAAAACCATAGAGACATATAGTTGTAATAGGCTGCGCGGTCTTATGGTAGGGATGAAGCGAGACCGAAGGACAGAAATAGCGTTGGGGTAACACCTCTCTTGCTCGCACATCGCAGAGGGCGGGGAGAAAGCGACTGGAGGACGATTAGGAGAAGGAATGATGCACGCATGTAGCCTCCACTGAAGCCGTAGGTGAATCCCCCACCAATAGCCCCATTAAAAAGAGAGGAAAGTTACTCCAGTTACTGTCCTCCCTTTCTAGTGTCGATTTCATCCCTACCATAAAATACCGCGCAGTCTATTATACACATATGTCTACATATACGTCCTAGATACATGTCTATATAAACAGCTCCAAAAGATAAGTGAAAATGCATAATTATACATATACACATACTGGATTCATGAATCCGCCACGGTTCGCGACGTCAACCGACCACCAGTCGAACGTCCATTCCCAAACGTTTCCAATCATGTTACGTAATCCATATTTGTTTGGAGGGAATTCTGTAACAGGCGAGGTACTCTCGTAACCGTCCTCTTTAGTGTTATTACTGGGAAAATCGCCTTGCCATATATTTGCTCTAAAAATGATTTCTCTTGCGTTACGAAATCACGATTTCGATCATACATTCGATTTGAATATTTACAAATTTTATATTGTTCTTCGATTTACCTGTACCGACCATTCGGGATCAAATTATTACCCCACGGATATAACCTATCGGAAAGCCCACCTCGACACGCCACTTCCCATTCCGCTTCGGTAGGCAATCTTTTTCCTAACCATGCGCAGTATGCGAAAGCATCGTTCCACGATACATGAACAACCGGATGATCCATCCTGTCTGGATTAATGATTTTATCCGTGGCTACTTGCACTACAGAGCCTTGACTGTTTGTAAACATACGGACGAAGAATTACGTACGCGCCAAGTCCGAAGCAGGCCCCTCGGGATGCTTCCAATCCGCATTTTTTATTTGTAACCACCAAGGAGCTTGAGCAACGGCGACCGGCACTTTCGATCTGACTTCTTTTTTCAGTAGACCCCCGAATACGAATGAATCACCAAATGATTCAGCTTCTGTTCGATAGCCAGTTGCGTCAACAAACGCTGTAAACTCACCATTACTTACCTCTTGTTCGTCTATGTAAAAACTATCGAGATATACTTGTCGTTTCGGTCCTTCTCCATCAGCGAAAAAAATAGGTTCATCTGTTCCGATCACAAAAGTTCCTGCATCTACCTTGCTCATATGTTTCGAACGATCCGTAACAGAATCAAATGTTTCTTTCGTGTACAAGCGAGAAACAGCATCGTTTGTCACTGAACAATGGTCTTGCGTATCTTTCAATTTGTTAATTTGCCTATTCGAACGTTGAGCGCAGTGAGAAAGTTGTTGGTTCGAATGTTCATATTTAAAGCTTCGCGCCACACGATACAACGCTAGCAAGACAAACGCGCAAACGAGTAATCTCAGCGATCTCATTTTTAAAATCGACCGTAACGGATTCTGCGGGTTGCGATCAGGACCTACTTATGCAAAGAAACGAACGACCGACTAATAAATTCGAACGCGAATGCAATGAATGACTGTAGACAATAATGCACGATAGTCTTAAACGTCTTAGACACACAGCACGGTCGAATACAATTGACGACTAAACCCACTAAATCGACTAAACGCTGCACTAGTCTCAGCTGGTGTCAACCTCAGCTAGTCTCCATACTCTCCATCACTCTCAATGTCCATGGAAGACGAGTCAGGCGACCACGCCGACCACACCGACCGCACGACCATCGACTACCTACTACCGACATTGCGCTGCACCGTGATTAATGGAAACAAGAAATTGATGCAGGATGTGCTGCCACCTGACGTCCCAGTACCACCCAGTAGTTTCTTTCAATGTGGCTGAAATGGCGCGTGCCAGCGCGTGTCATTCGCGTGGAACATAACCTTGCATAACCTACTGTTGGCTGCCACGTACTATTTACGTACCTGTCGTTTGCGTAGAATCTCTAGAACCTTCCTGTTTTCTTCATGATATCGGCTCATGTACAATAAAACACATATTAAACAACAAAATCTGTTGAAAGTCTGATAGAACATTAGTGTAAAATTACAATGATTTCTTCCAAACGTTCCAAATTACTGTTCTGTGCTCTTGGTATTTTTGTATGTTACTTTTACTTCGCTATGTTACAAGAAAAAATTACCCGTGGGCAATACGGAGATGAAAAGAACAGCGAAAAATTCACTTACACGTTCAGTTTAGTTTTTTTTCAATGTTTAATCAATTACCTGTTCGCCAAGACTAGTTTGTTGATGATCATGAAACAAGGTGAAGATACTACCCCACGAACATATTACGTGATATCTGCTCTCACGTATTTACTCGGAATGGTGTGTAGTAACATGGCTTTACAGTTCGTCAGTTATCCAACACAAGTAATCGGGAAATCTGGTAAACCAATTCCTGTGATGATACTCGGAGTACTGCTGGGCAACAAGGTATCGCTTTTCTTCTGTTATCTTTTTGTTTTTAATCATGTCAGTCTGTTTGTTAATTTGTCCCAATATTTTCGTGACCGACTGGATATACCAGCCAGTGTATGCATATAATGTACAATGTGTGTGCTATGCATATGCACATGTATATTAAGGGTGTTAATAAAAATGTAGGGTAAGTTTACAGGCCAGATTCCACATGTCAAACTAACACGAGAGGAAAATTAAGAACGACGAAATTGCGGTTCGAGGCTTTGTTTCTGAGTTATTGATTGTTGAAAATATGGGCAAAATACGCGTGAAATGTATTAAATACGTTAAGCGCGATGGGTTATACTACTCGAACATCTGATTCCCAGCTGATACACGGGCTCGATCGATGACCTAGTGAAAATAATGAATGAAACAAAATCATGAAACAGTTGAAAAACGCGCCTCGAATGCAATTTCGTCATTTTGGATTTTTGTCCTAGTTTGACACGTAGAATTCATCTTGTAAAAGTTTACTACATTTTTATTAACACCCTCCGCGTTTGTTCGCGCGCTAATTCGATAATAGTGTTTTAATTATAATCTGTTATTGAAATTATTATTTTTACGTAAATTGCACTTATTTTATTTCTATGCTGTTATTCTATGCGATTAAATAGTTTTTCTGAAAATGGAAAAATTGCTGTACATACATATGTATGTATGTATGTATGTATGTATGTATGTATGTATGTATGTATGTATGTATATAGCAAACGAAATTCGGCACTAATTCCGCACAGACTGTTTTCATCGAGGTCATATTTACGACTTGCTGGTCCGTACAACATTTAGCAGAACCTAAATAGCTGAACAGTCACCGGTAGCGAAAGGGTTAAAATTGACACGACGCGACGCGACGTCTCATGCGATTGGAATATTGTTAAGCGTAGACATTTTTGATCGATACCGATCGTAACATTTTGGTGCATTACCTTGCAGGTTTATCCAGTTAGGAAGTACTTATTTGTCTTCTTAGTTGTCATTGGTGTTGCGTTGTTTATGTACAAAGACGTTGGTCCAACGAAGAAGCAAACGGAAGGACAAGCAGCATTTGGAGAACTGTTATTATTACTTTCGTTAATAATGGATGGTTTAACTAGTGCGGTACAGGAACGTATGAAGGCAGAGAACAATTCCAAGTCTGGACACATGATGTTAAACATGAATGCATGGTCTGCGATATTCAGTGGTGCTGTCATCTTGATCTCTGGAGAATTTTTCCAGTTTCTTCAGTTCTTACACAGATATCCTTTCGTTGTATGGTACATGGCCACGTTTTCGATAGCAGGAGCGTTTGGGCAGTATTTTATATTTTTCACCGTTGCGGAATTCGGGCCATTACCGTGTTCTATTATAACTACTACTAGGAAATTGTTTACAGTTTTAGGGTCGATATTGATTTTCGGTAATGCTTTGACCACTAGACAATGGTTAGGTACATTCACGGTATTTACGGGATTATTTTTAGACGCGATGTACGGTAAAGACAAATCTTCCAAGAAAAATGTAATGAAATAACAAACGAACGTACAGGCGTTAACTCGTGTAATGTTCGTTTGAAACGATTCCGATCGCACAATGCCTGCCGCATTTTGACTTTTCGGTTTCGTGATCTGTTTACCTATAAATAATTATATAACATTATATAATGTAATTGCGAATGGAACATCATAAGACATTTTTGGACGTTATTTTTCAAAAATTGTAATACGTACTCTGTTTTGTGATCACAATGACAATGTGCGTTGCGTGTATGCCGCGTCTGTGTACAGCGTGTAAATGTTGGTGTATACCTACTTACTTACCTACCTGTAGTCGGCAAGAATCATGCATGACATGTTACGTGCCTTTTCCGAAGTACACCATTCCTGTTATTTCCACGAAATCTTCCCTTCTGTCTTTTCTTGATTTGCAAAGAAAATAAATCCGCCGCGACGTACATGCAAGTAGGTATGTATGTATACATATATACTGTGTAGGTACAAAGAGGATTACTTGCAATATAGCAGAAACGGTATCATCATCATTTCTGTCGAATCTAACAATGAAAACTCAATTAGTAGGAAATACATAAATGTACATTGTAGTAATTTCGTGAGAGATAAAATGCAATCTTTTACAAATGCCAAACGATTCTTTGATTCGTTATTTTATCTTCCGTTTGAAATTGATGTTGAAAGGTAATGTTTCATGCGCGGACGAAAAACTTGTTGCACGAAAATCAAACGAAATAGACATGCGGACAAATTACAGCGATATGTCAACGGCATTACCACTTATTAGAAACCGTTTGTGTGTTGTATATTTGTATGTATGCGTACGCGCGCGCGTGTGTGTGTGTAGTAGTAGTAGTAGTAGTAGTTCCGCGTAAAACATTTCTAAAATCGGATTTCGTTATTGTTATCAACGTCGACAAGAACGTCGACGATGGTCAAGCAGATAATAACGACGCGTGGATGATCGTTAGGAAGGGAGTGTAATCAGTTGAATGTACCATAAATGCGCAAACTGCTTCTCCAGAAGTAGTTTAACGTATTTCAGTAAAGAAGTCGTGTCGAAGGTCGGTATTACACGTTATAGAAGACCGATAATCCTAACGATAGTCGCGAAATGAATAGTCGGTTTCCCAGATGTTGCGTATGGATCGTGGTGTTAACAGTGTGCTTCCCGGGTATTTGCGCGTTTCTTAAGGATAGTGGTGAGTGCTGAACTTTGTCAATTTAATATATACATTTATAGACATTTATTTATATACGTAAATCTGCATTTTATTTTTGTCCTGTTCTTCGGATCCTATCCATAACACATGTAATATTTTTGCCGTTAGTTATTTCGGCGTGATAGATGAATGTAAATAATAAATAATGTCTCTAAACCGAGGAATTTCAGTGCATTCTCTTACTTCTTTTAAAACTCGTAGCGATATCTTTTTATTATACATACATAATGACAGAAAAACGGACGGAAATGTTTCATTTTAGAGCTGTTTGCGAGCAATTTGTCGAACATTGGATCGTATGAAATCAATCCAGCGAGATCGAAATTATCGAGGAATGACGGTGAACAACCATTCGGAAACACAGATACACCTGCAGTCTGCAATTCGGAAAAAGATGACTTTCCTGCAGATTTGTTCACCGATGAACAACGTCGACACGGAGCTCTACTGTTACACGCCTTCCTCGGATTGTATTGTTTTTTGATTACAGCATTCGTTTGCCACAACTATTTATTACCTGCGCTTGATTGCATATGCGAGAGCATGAACATAAGCACCGACATCGCCGGTGCGACATTTCTTGCGATGGCCAGCTCTTTACCGGAAATGTTCGTAAACGTGATCGGAACGTTCCTTACGAAAACGGATCTCGGAGTCGGTACAGTTGTCGGTAGTGCCGTATTCGATACGTTCGCAACTCCGGCTTGTGGAGCATTGATGGCTCTTCATGTAAGTAGACGATAGTAAGACCGTATATACCACCATGGACACGTACGTACATATGTATATGTATACTCGTACTAGTGTGACTTGCAAGTGAAAATTTATTAAATTACTGACAACTGTTAGTAACTATAGAAACGGAAGGTTTCGTTTGCAACAGTGTTACGTGATCATTCGTACTACGGTATACAATATGTACATGCATGTGTAGTACCGTTTTCCGTTGTTTTCTCGTGATACACGCATATGCGTGTGGTATTTAGATAAAACCGACCGACAACAAGCACGCACCGACTTTATCGATATTTAAATCGATCGCATACTATAGGACATAGGATATAGATATTTATCTGTGCCTTTATGATTCGAACGTGTGTTTATATTGGTAATGTTCTTGTACTGGTTTTGGCAGGCGGTACCGCTGCAATGGCGTGTATTAACACGAGATTGTGCTGTATATATCATATCGGTTGGAGCATTGGTCATAGTAATATGGGATGGTCGGATTGTATGGTACGAAGCTGTAATGCTGTTAGTGATCCTCCTTGTTTACCTAATCCTGTTGTTTTGCGGGCCACGCATGGTGCGTTCCTGTTCCAATGGAGTCTCGAGTTCCACAATGAAACGTAAGTAGGTAACTGGATGTTCTCTGTTTTTGCAACTTGTCTCGTTTGCATCAAACGAAATCGCAAATTGAAAGAAAGCGGAGAGTAGCGACGCAACTTGAAACCCATAATGATTAATTAGTGCCCAACGGTGATGAGAATTCATCGGCTCAGGGTTCATATAAGCCGTATCATATTAAGAATTCGAACGGCGACGAATCGACGCAGCAGCAAAACAGAACAAACGATCCAGAAACTTTAGTAAATTTAAAGGAATCAATGAAACACGAGAAACCAGGTATATATTTTACTCCCCATATGTATCGCTTCTTGCTTCTTCGACCTATGTGTACGTATAAAACAAGGTAAAAGAAACCGTTCGTTTCTTCTCGTTTGCAGAAAGTCTGTTCCTATGGCCGAAAGAGCGAACCACAGCGACGAAATGTTGGTTTCTCTTCACCTGGCCATTGAAGTTTCTATTGTTCGTAACAATACCGGATGCTAGACGCGAACGATTCAGAAATTGGTATCCACTGACGTTTGTTATGTGCGTGGTTTGGATCGCGATATCCTCCTACTTGGTTTCCTGGATGGTGACGGTTATCGGTGATACTATAGGGATCCCGGACTCCGTCATGGGTTTCACATTCTTAGCTGCTGGTGGAAACATGCCGGAACTTGCGTCCATTGTGATTTTAGCGAGACAAGGTACTTGTATACACACACACACACACACACACACAAACACACATCCACTGTCACCTTTATTTATTCTCATAATTTACGTCTATCATTTCAAATTGCTGGAAGTATTTCAATGATTGCATAAACTCTACGCAACTAGGTGACGGAAACATGGCAATGAGCAACACATTAGGAGCAAATATTTTAGATATTTTACTCTGTCTGGGTTTACCATGGACGATAAAGTGTTTAACGACGGGAAACGATGTGGTGATCCAGTCCGGAGCCCTAGCCTACAGCATACTTTCAATACTAGGTTGCATAGTCATTCTTTACGCGGTCATTGCTTTCTTTAAGTTTCATTTAAATAAGAAGGTGGGATTGATTTGTCTGTTGTTATACACGATATTTTTAGTGTTTTCCATTCTTGCCGAATTGAATGTTTTCCTTGTTGTGAATGTATCTACGTGCGACTAACGAGCGCAATTCGTGTGTTTTACATTTTTATTAATTGCTTTCGCGTGCAACCGTGTTGCGTTGCCGTCACCTGTAATAGTGTAACATCTCTCCATGAAAGAAAAATGGTTCCTAAAAAGTCACGGTACTGTGCAGAGATAACTTGTTGGCTAGGCACGTACAAACTGAACGATACAGGGGCACAAGGGGTACTCTTTGCTCGGCTCCGTAAGTCCGCCTGTGACGCGCCCGCCGTGCTTCGGTCAAAACTCAAAAGTTAACTGTACACATACATATGTATGTATAGAGTAGGACCCCCATATTCCCGTATTCCCGTATTCGCGGATTCAGTTATCGACGGTTGACCGCGGTCCGAAAAATTTCCATTCAAGTATGTAATCTATCTGTTAATAAGTCTGTATAAAAATCAAATAAAATATTATTATTGGAATTTACAACATGTACATGCATACAACATATGAGTATGTATGTATGTACAGTAATGTACACTGATGTGCAAAGTTGGTATCCGCTACAGGAGAAAGCGAATTCGATCGAAAAATCGAAATTCTACAACTCTTACAGTTTCCATTACTCAGGAATGAATTTTCCAAAAAAAAAAAAAAAAAATTCCTTTGATTTTGTACATTTATTAATAATAAAGCAATATTCCAAAATAACTTTTTCCCTGCAGAAACCGACTATACACGTTAACGTTTATATGTATATAATAAGGTTCGTTACTATCCGCGGATTTCGGTAGCCGTGGAAGGCCTTGGTACCAATCCCCTGCGGACACGGGGGTTTTACTGTACTTCAAAGTTCGATGTCACGAGATAGACGTACAGATATGGCCTATTCGGCCAATAACGATAATGCGTATGAGCCTATCAGTCCCGTTGGACCGAATATTTGAAACGACTCATATGTTGAGTCATCGGTCTCGAATGTGTTGTTAGACTCGGCGAATATTCAAACGATAAGACTGCGTCTATTTATATTGTATCTGACTTCGAAATGTAAACGCATTGTAAATACAGTCAGTCCAAATACTAATGAAATTTTGACACCATATGTCAAGAACCGTGTGTCTTGAAAAATGATATTACAGTTTCATTACCGCTTACACCGACATATGTATAAGTATAATATGTATACCCATATAGCACATGACGTCTTGAATATGGCTTAAAGACGCTTCAGACATAAAGTAGCCGTAAAATGGGCGTCTTAAAGGCATCGTATCGTATCTAGAAACTAGAATATTTTTACATTTTGAAGTTACATATCATGTAAACACAGGCAATCTTATTGTTTGAATATTCACCGATGAATGCATAATAAATATAATACTGTTATTATTATAACAACAACAACAACAACAACAACAATATTATTAATGTGTAAACTAACAGTGGCATTGTTTGAGTTTGCCATTGAAACCGTAAAGTGTAAAGTCATCAAAGTGGTTGAGCAGCCGCAACGATCACATCCGCGGTGGCTCGTGTCGCGCCGCGCTAGCGAGAACTAATACTTTCGAGACCTATGAGTCCCATGACCCAGTATATGTAAGATGTTCTGCTCGTGTGGTCGATGACGCAGCATTCCCGGCTGCTGGGGATAATCTTGTAATACCACGTCGGTTTTCAATGTTCTTGAATGTTTACGGTACGTTTTCTTGACAGATTTCCACCGGTTTAGAATTGTATAATCAACTGTGTGAACCATAGCGATGTTATAATAACATATACATATACCATGTATTTACCTTCTTTATACCTTGTGCATAGGTACATATGTACATACATGGTGCGTACCTTGTGCTGTCTTTGTAGTTTTTTCCGACTTCTTTTCAATAAGCTCTAAATCATTCTAATAAGCATCGGTCGCACATGTGCGTATGTATATGCAAGATTCGCAAATGGTATCGAAAGAAAAATTTATGCATGTAACTACCGGTGATAGCAGTACATATTGACAGTTGGGCGGTGACGGATACCAAAGCTAGTTGGCGAGGAGGTTGTACGGGTGTTGTGAAAATGATGAAAAAAAGATCGGCTGTGTCTGCAGAAGAAAATTTATATTCACGTAGAGTACGGAAACGTTTGAATCTTTTATCGTTGGACATCAACGATCGTGGAGTTAATTTAGGTTGAGATAAACATTCTTAATAAAGAATAATTTATTTTCGGACTCGATCAACGAATTCGATCAAGGAGAAACGTTTTAACACGGTAATCTATAATAACCAGCATACCGTGAATAACAATCGTTTTTCTGTTCATAAGCAGAGGGAACACAATAAGACCGTCTGCACTGAACGAAGTTTGATTTCGAGATTCGTGTTTGGATAAATTTGAACGATTTTAGCGAAGTGTTATCGCAAACGCAACGCTAATCAACTTGAACACAACGTTGAGTCGCATCGCGTTATCTCGCAAAGAATCTTTTCTACTTAAGAATAGCAAAGTACATAATATGTACATAGTACAAAACATACGGCGGCGGCAACAGCAAAGGAAAAGAATGTTGGCGTTGGTGGTATTGCAACCATTATATGTGTACGAACCGTCCTTAACCGCGTAGGTACTTGCCGTTTCAAAACGTATCTGTAGCGTGTAAAAATTACCACTGGTACACTGCATATTATTATGTTATTCACAATGCGGTGCAGAAAGAACAAATACGGTATTCGTTATATGTATGGTATGGTCCCACCAACACGTGAAATTCTACGTACGTACGTATGTATGTATGTATGTATGTATGTATGTATGTATGTATGTATGTATGTATGTATGTATGTATGTATGTACATACATACGTACATACATACGTAGATACATACGTACATACATACGTACATACATACGTAGATACATACGTAGATACATACGTACATACATACGTACATACATACGTACATACATACATACATACATACATACATACATACATACGTACATACATACATACATACATACATACATACATACATACGTACATACTTATACACTTACATCTGTATTGTAGATAGACGTGTACAGGCGATGATCATCGTTTATTGGAAAAGTACGCAATATGTAATATGTATTTTGATAGACAATTCGGTTCATTTCAGTATTCGCGGCTCCATTTCTTATTAATGTATACCAGGAGGTAATGATGTAGTAAGGTAGCGAAATTAGTGGTCTTATAAAGAAAGATACTTACATATGTATACATATTGTACATGTACACATGTATGTAGGTACAGATATGTACATGTATGCACATACATATGTATATCTAACCAAGTGTTCGGTAATCAAGAAAAGGATAAGATTGTGGAAAGATATTCGATTAATATGCGAAGCATCTCTCACCTAAATTAGTTCTTTCCTGTCAAATTAGTTTTCGAAATTAGAATCGAGTTTCCTCGTATAACCCGATTTGATCCACTACTTTACTATATCGCTACCCTCGAGTAATAAGTATTTATGCACATTCTGCTAAACTAAATGAACGTAATATTAATGATAGATGCGTATATGTATAATCAATATCGCATCGGTCCGTTGACTTCGTCAAGGACAGGTTGAATCTTGACGCAAGTCTATTTAATCAATTCTATCGGCTTTCATTGTGATTAACGCTATTCTATGTGTGCGTTTTTCACGATAATAATTAATCGCGTAAATGAAATATGACAGCTAGTTAACGCGCAGGTATGTGTTACTACCGAGATAAGATAAGCCATAGGCAATCGTGTATGTAACGATAATGGTCTAAAGGTCTTCTCCTTAACAGGTGCGTCTGCGTCATTAGAGGTTCTTAAATTAGTACTCTTCCATCACACGAAATCTCGAGATCGTCGGGAGTTAGCAAAGCGTTTACACTCGTCTACAACGTGCGTGTGTAGATGCATACCTACCTACCTACCTACCTACCTACCTACATACATATTTCGATAGAAGAAATACAGTGATGTCGTGCGAGAAATTTAAAGAACGTAACGTATATGTATGTATAACGATAGTTGGCTTCGGTGTAGTAGGATGTAGGATATAAAATACATATGTACATACATATACAAATGGGCGTCAGAATCTCATTGTCAGCGCGAGATGTGATGTTTCAAATATGATACATACATGTATTATACATACGTGTATTTTCAAGCTAAAGATCTGCTAGTCTCTTGAAAGTTATTATTTTCTTTCGGTTCCGATCATTAGCAATATGTTACGAACCATCAATCAGGAATTATGTGAATCTGATATTAAAAGTCTGTTCAATTTTACCTCTTTTATTTCGCTTTTATTTAAAACAATGTTCTCTACGATTCTTAACGAAAGAATGCCGGACTCTAATTTGCTAAAAACACATTTTTTCTTCTGCGAAACGAATAACATATTCTCGTTGCCCTCGAGGACATCATTCTATTTCTTCGCGCATAAACTTGTTCAAGTTGCAACTCCCGAACCGATCAATTCCATTGATAAGAACGTCATACAATCGTTTTAGTTCCGCTGGCTTAGAATCCGCCTTACGTTAGTTCCTCCCTTTCGCCGACAAATGTTTGCTAGGTCTTACAAATATTTCGTATTCGTGTTCTCTTTTTCTCTTCACGAGGGCAAAGGAAATACTAGTCGTTGGTACATATCAACGATACACACAGATCGCAAGAGATTCGATCAACGGAAGTTCGACTCGAGGCGGAACCAAATTTACCCGATTGGTCACGAATATTAGAAATATTAGAAACAGATAGATACATATGTAGGATGCTTTAGTTTAGGTCACCATTCTGCGTTCGTCCGACTTCTGATTCCTCCTACTTCTCTGTTTCCCCGGCAATGAAAACTTCTTCATCGTACCATGCGCGTCATTAGAAACAGCCAGATTACAGTTAGAACAAACAGTCTGACTACGGAGAAAAAATATAATACCTCCATGCTAACCACACGCACACGCACGCAGTCCTGTACTCTTTAACGCGCCTATCAAATCTTTCGTATACGAATAACATATCTGTGGAGTCGGCGTTATATTATATGTTTATGATCATGTAAGTGTGTAAATAGGTATGTAATCACATGCCGATGATGCCGTTAAGGAACAAACAGAACGTTGACTAATTTTAAAAGGAGTTGTAAAATCGTAATTCTTCACTCCCTTCTTCGTTAACGCATACCCTTGCAATTTTATTCTCAGACCTTTCTTTGTTTTACGGTTATACATATATGTATAATGTATACCATTCATATTTATTCTCGCTTCTGAACAGGAAACGGCGCGACGTATAGTCCATACCTACATACATATTAACGCATACATATTGTATCATATGTATACAATAGGTACACCCACGAGCAATTTTGGCTTCCACTAGGGGAAAAGTGGCGTAACAGGAAGGCCTTTTACCACTTGGTAAATTTATTTCAAGTACGGAAATAAATGTTAAATTGAATGTTAATTTGACATAGATTTCAATAATTCCCGAGACCAATTGATAGAAGGCCTTTCTCCTACACTGCTTTTTCCCCTAACGGAAATCGAGTTTGCTCGCGAGGGTACAATCATTTGTACAAGGATTCGTTAGAAAAACGATGAACCGTTCTACGTATCAGTAGTTTACATATTTCATATTGTGTCGTTTGTTTAGTTTACGTGATCATGCATAATCTTTTACGGCCATTTCGGTATCAAGGCGAATACACTACATCGCATAATTGTTATTTTGCAAAGAAAACGTTCGCGAAACATATTAGCGGCATTGCTGCAGAATAACAACTGTGCAACACGAGTTTTCATCTGTAATATCCATTCGAAGATACTTTATAGAGTTTCTCGTCCAGAGCACGAATCCTGAAGCAAAATTTCTTCACCTCCCTCAGTTTTTGAAAAACATAAGTTTCTCTAAAAACACCCGATTTTGGGCAAAAATCACCTATTACGTAAATACTAAAAGCGCTGGATACTAGAAAGTTCAATTTAATTGTGAACTATAGAGAAGAGTTTCCTGAATATAGCAGTGTACATATATATATATAGTTGTCAAATTGTGTAATCTTTTATGGTTTTGGATTGCCTATGTAATTGCCTTGTAGTATAATTTATATGCACTATTTTTGCATTTTTACGATAAGTTCTTTACCCCAGCACGAATTTGCTATAGAGTATAGAGTATTAGATTCTGTAGACATTTCCGACGAAAGAATCATCCAGAAAAACTGTCAGAACGGTTTTTAATTCGAACAAGTTGGGAAAATAATATAATGTTTCATATATTTCCATATTTAGGAAAGTGTTCGAAATTTTGTAAAATCATAATAATAAACAGCCTGTAAAATCAATAAAAATTGAGTGTGATTTTTAATGGTTTCATATTAATAAGTCGTACCTATACATAATATATGTATGTATGTATGTATGTATGTATGTATGTATGTATGTATGTATACTATACGACATTGAAATAATTTGAAACTGAAAGTGATCGGGAAAAGTTCATTACAATTGCGCCAATTGCGGGACTAGTATCCAAGAATACATGGAAAAAATCAAACATTATAGGTACATATTGCAAAGGGGTGCCCATAGGACGGTACTTTCGGCTTTGGTTATCGATTACGCGTAGCTACGGCACTACACACGTCGACGGATATATGTACATATTGCTGTTCTGTTCGAATAATAAACCGTTCCGATAGTTTTTCTGAATGGTACCTATGTATCTTCTTTAGAAATGTCTATAGAATCCGAAGTATCCTGTATAGCAAATTCGTGCTAGCTAAAGAATTTTTCGTAAAAATGCAAAAACAGTGAATAGAAAGTACGCACATCGGCTCTTGTTATAATTTCACAGGAATCTACATATAACTATGAAAAATTACACAATTTTATAACTGTATAGACTGCTATATTCAGGAAACTCTCCTCTATCTTCCAACACTAAATTAAAGTTTCTACATAGTGTTTTTAGTTTTCATGTAATGCGTCATTTTTGCCCAAAATCGGATGTTGTTTTGAAAGCTCATGTTTTTCAAAAACTGGACCAGAAACTCTGTAAGGATCTTTCAATGGATATTGCAGATCAGAAAAAAATTTAATTTGTTGGACAGTGTAATTAGCGTAACCGACATAAATAGCCAGTTCAGTGTGTTCATAATTGGAATTGTTCTGACAAGATATCATTGTTGAAACGCGCTCAAAGTTCTGAAAAATTCTTGAATATCATCGAACTATAATCGAAGCAAATAACCTGTCACATAATTACAATCAATCGATCATCAACGATCGAAATACACGACCTACTTGGAAACTAATCGTTTTCTATCCTTCATTCGGAATTTCATTTAAAGCAATTCCTTTCTTCTCCTTTATTTTTACTTTCTCTCTGCTTCTTTCATACAGCTACATTTCCATATACACGATTAACTTGCCCATAACTCTTTATGTTCATGAATTTGAAGTTTCAGTCGAGGAGTGAACAGTGTTATCAAACGTTTTCATGTATCTCACGAAACTTCGTGTTATACGGACGGCTGTCGTTCAAAGAATCAATTGCCAGAAGACATTGTCTCTTGGCATACGCGATTGTACAACTGAATAAGTCAATCCACCGTACTATGTAATATGGAATAAGCGTTGAATAGAAATATTCCTATGTACCTATTCTGTGTTTTTCAATTAGGTACATTATATGTAAATTACGAAATTATCTCTGTTTCTAATGCGTTTTACAACCACAACCACAACTCTTTCAGTAACTGTTGTTTGTGCACCCCCCACTCCTTTACTCCCTTTCCCCCTCCCCCTTCTATCGCTCAAACACACACGCACGCACGCACACTCGTATAGACATTTTCTCTCTCTCTCTTTCGCCTCCTCCTATCTATTTATGTACATACTTGTCTGATATCTCAACTTTGAACATCTACGTATTTATTTCTCTATCAGTCTAAGTAGTTTACCTATCTACGTAGCTCCTAGCAAACTATCCAGCTAGCTATGTAGGTAGCTAGCTGGTTAACCAGCCAACTGTCCTTCTTCGATAACGAACTGTACGGTAAGAGCTACATATGCATATATACATGGGCAAGGATTGATATAACATTTTCGATTCGAGATGACAAAGAGCGGTAGTAAAAGTTCGAATTAAGACGTTACAATCTAGATGAAATGTTTTGCAGAAATGTTGTAATCATTCTCGGAAACAGTATTCCAGTTGCGACGTCTCTTATCGTTCGCAAAGTGTCCCAAAAACACGCTGCACGTGTCTAGGATTACTAAAGGTTACCATCTGCTCTGAACAACCTTATTGCTGGCGTATGATTTGCATGCACCGAATAAATTCGTCTTTCTTGAGCGGAAGAATTGTGAAACGACAAGGTGTCAAAACGAACTTTTTGAGCGGAAAACAGTATTTGCAACTATACCGTTCTCTACCCTACATCATACTAGGTGTGTATATGCACACACACACACACACACACACACACACACACACACACACACACACACACACACACACACACACACACACACACACACACACACACACACACACACACACACACACACACACACACACACACACACAGACACACATTTAGTTAGCTTTAATGAACACTTTGCGTATTGAATTATGAATAAGAATTCAACTCGCAGCCTTTCAGCATACCTTGGTTCCTCGTCTATTCGTGATATAATCTTTTAATCATTTACTCACCATACTCACGAGAATTGCGAAATGAAGAATCACATGGCTGCAGTGGAAAGTAAAGATTGAATCTGGAATTTACTTATTAACGTCTGCGGCTAATTACTCATCAAGTGCTTGCGATCATAATCATGATCGTAATTGTGACCATATTCGCAGTAGCAGTCGCAGTCGCAGTCGCAGTCGCAGTCGCAGTCACAGTCACAGTCACAGTCACAGTCACAGTCACAGTCACAGTCACAGTCGCAGTCGCAGTCGCAGTCGCAATCGTAGTCGTAGTTATAGTCGTTGTAGGCGTAATCGTAACTGTAATTATAATAAATAACCGTAATCATTAGTATTGTCGTCGATTCATTTATGTGAAAACACTCGCGCGATGGGCGTCAAACGCTGATTAATATGCTGCATATAAATGGAAAACTTTTTCTCATTGCCAGCTTGGCCTTATTCGATTTGTTCCGTATATGTAGATTCGACTAGGCTCGATTCATATTGATTCGACCAAGATCATAATATGCACAAACATGTACGTAAAGGTTTTTACGTGTTTTCATTGTATTTCGCAAAATGGTAATTTGCCGGTTAATTCCTTGGTTGTTTCCTGATCTTGACTATTCGCGCCCTCGCTTTTCGGGCTACCACCATCTTCTAGGGAGCCCCCACCACTTCCGTGAGGGCAAATTGATTGTCATCTGAGTGCCAGAGTAGAGATCATCGGTGGTCGGGACGGTTTGTTGTCGAGTATTCTTTCGATTTCGTTCATTATATTCGCATTCAGTTTTGGAATCAGCTGAAACCAGGAATCATTACTCCATCTCATTGTCAGAGTCGAAAATTATGTGAACGAGAAACATTAGGGATAATTGTTCAGAAGTAGTGTTACCTGTAAACTTTGAAGACTCTCGTATAGTTGATCCATGTTTGATGCACCAAGCAGAAGGCACTGAACACTTTCATTCTTTAAAGACCACGCGATGGCTAACTGTCCGAACGAACAGCCAAGTCGTTCGGCAAGAGCGCAGACGTCTCGTAATTTGTCCGAATATTTTCGTGTCTCATCGTCGGCAGACTTTTCTTTCCACCCATATTCCTGCTAAAACAAATCCAATATTAGATGTCGTAAGCACGCGCTTTCAAAGATCACACAATATCAAAGTACGTACTTCTTTGTACAAAGATTGAGTTTCATCCTCTGTCCAGCTGAACGAGGAATATTTATTCTGAAATGATTGAAAATTATACAAATGTGTATCGTTTAGATTGTCGAAAGAAAGTCGACCTGATTAAGATTCCAGAATCGCGTCACTGTTTAAATATCGTCAACGATAGATAGTAATGTATACAACAACACTACCTTGTAAGAAGATCTTGATAAAAAGGACACACCATAGTCTTCCGGTTTCGCGGAAACCATCCCAATTGTGACCGTGGACCATGCCATCAGACCAACCCCTACGAGGAAAATGTTTATTCAAATGCAGATACCGAATATCCATGTCTGTAAGTACCTACTACGTAGTACACATTTATGTACTTAGGTACCTACTACATACATATGTATGTACTGTATGTATACAATACGTACACGTAGGTACACACGGTTTTAAGGGATTTCAAATCGGCACCTGCTTGTAATATTTACCTATTTTGTTGTACAATTCCGGCATATAAAGTTCTGGCTTTTCTCTATAAAATAAATGATATTCGGCTTGTTCCACAATCGGTGTGACACAATTAAATTGACGACAATTCGTATAAGCTTCCATAATCTCGACGGGTGTCCAACGAGACGTTCCCCAGTACATCACCCAACCTTTGCTTATAACGTAGTTCATAGCGCGTACAATCTCTAAAAAAGGAAAAGGAGGAGAATTAGCGAGTTCGAACGGACAATTGAACAAAGTTCCTAGGAGTAACAAGATACGTTTCACTAACAAACCTTCCATAGGACACATTGGATCAACTTTGTGAATCATTACTATGTCGATGTAAGAGAGTTGCAGTCTGACCAAAGATGCCTGCACCGACTCAATGATGTGTTTGCGGGATAATCCACGACCCTCCGCTCTGCGAACAAGTCTCGTCGGTACAACAATTTCATTTTTCTAATATCAAGTTTTTTAATATTCAACAAAGCCTATTAACTATTTTATGCATCGTATTTAAAGAAATATATGTATATATGTACATGTGTATTTATGTACATATGTAGATATATACATACCATTACATGTGTATATGCGCATAGCTATTGTATATACAGGTAATAACCTGTCAGATTTATGCGTATTTCAGTATGGTTATACTCACTTGGTATTCCAATATATCTTAGTGGTAACGACGTAACTCGAACGATTCCAAGCACGTCGTAACAAAATTCGCCCAAATTGGATTTCTGCTCGGTGTCCGCTGTGTGCTTCGCTCAAATCAAATACATTTATTCCACTGTCATAGGCGAGGGCAACCACCGCTTCAGCTGCCTCTTCGCTACTGCAACCTCCGATACCGAAAGTCGTCCATGTACCTACGCGTATGAAGCAATACATGTCTCATTAGGTGTGTCATCTTATTTTTCTATACATCATTTCACTTTTTCATCACTTGTAATGGTTAAAACGACGCAATTTAAAGCAGACACGGCCAGTTTTCACTTACCTTTTTATTTTCACAGAAGACAGATCACGATTTGAATTTCAGTTATTGATCATCAAACGATGTGATGCCCAAGCGTATACGTACATACATATACATATACATATACATACACATACATACATGTATCGACGGACTTACCCCACATAGTCTATTCAATTTTTACGGACACAAATGTTCTTTTACACGTATACGCGGGAATTTTGTCAAATGCCCTGTCCTAGTTAGCCTCTTTTCTTCTCTCATCTAACATTTCATGTTATGCCAATTATTCTATCTACAGTTTTCACCTTCTCTTTTTGCATACCTACTATGTATTTTCCTTTTCTGATTCAGTTTATTTATTCGCTACATAGAAAAGAATAAAAGCAGGTAGACGCGCGTGCATATTATACTTACTATAATAATGTTATAGAAGAAGTTTATTTGTCTTTACTCACGATGCATTAGTGTCCTTTACAATAAAGTTTAAACGAAACATGAACTTTATACATATGTATTACCTTGTATCTATTCGGTGAACACATGCGACTCACAAGAGGAAACATATTGTACATAAGTGTACGTGTACTTATGTATAAGACGCTGATTGATATGTATATACATTGCTTGAAATGATTCTTTCGAATTGAAATAGTACTACCAAATTAACAAGCAATAAGCGGACAAGTATGAAAAAGAGAGAAGAAAGAAAAAGAGAACATGCATATGAAAAGGATAGAAGGCAAGAAAGTAAAATTTCACGTATCCGGTGAGAGAAACGAATGGTGTTGTTTGTAATTTTCTACATTTACGGTAAAAAATAAATAATGACAAGCAGCTGAGAATCTATTGTATTATATTATCCCAGCAATTGAAGTGAAGCGTACATCAAGATGGATTAAAACGGTCGGGTAGCCGTGACTCTGTTCGGCTCTACGAAAGTCGGGGAAAACATTCAGCGTACCTAATCCAACATTGGAAACACGTAGACCGCTTTTGCCCAAGTTGCGGTAGCGAATACCTGGCGAAGGATGCTGTAAGCGTTGCGCTTGTGCGGCAATGCAGTTAGTCAGTAGCTGTTCCTTCGTTCCAGCAGTATTGCTGCAGTGCACGCCAGTATCTACACCGCCACCACCACCGCCGCCGCCACCAACGCCGCCACCACCGCCGCCACCGCCACCGCCACCGCCACCACCGCTACCACCGTTGAATTCTTCCATGCAATCCAGACTCGCTATAGGTGCACGGCAGCTGCGCGTACAAAGTGTACAAAGTATTAATAGGTTACGATCGATTGAGTGTTCGATACAACCACGCAAATCTTAATGTCTATCAATTTATAACTTGAAAATTTTCGTTCAAGTTCATATCTCTGCGTCTTTCTATCTATCTACCTACATATCTGTCTATGCCTATGTGTGTGTGTGTGTGTGTGTGTGTGTGTGTGTGTGTGTGTGTGTGTGTGTGTGTGTGTGCGCGCGCGTGCGTGCGCGCGCGCGTGTGTGTATGTATGTATGTATGTATGTATGTATGAACAAGTCCATTTTTTTTACGTATCCGTGTCGTATTTGAAATAAATTGAAATTGAAAAAAAAGCCGAGTACAATTACTCTTCAATACGATTGGGTTATGCATATAATGTCTGACTTTTCTATTTGTAATACATATACACAATATGTAACATACATGTAGGTAACACTTTGTAACTGTAAATGCGTACAAATAATAATACAAACAGAGTTACATGTTAATCAATAATGTGGCATCTACTTGTACGTATATCTAATTAGTTTTTTAACTGGATTATGAACAAATCCTCATTCTACATTTTCGATTTGTTTTCGTACATAGAACCACTTTCTTCTCGTTTATATCACAAATTTCGTCGCATCCTATACATTACGAAAGAGAAAGACAGCGAGTTTAGATGTTAAATAATGAATGACGATTTCTAATGGTGCAGGGTGTTTGAAAATTGTTTGTTCATTCTTTTTTGCAATAAAACGTTTACAGCTCGTTGCTCCATACACATACATACTCGTATATGTAGTATGTGTGTGAATAGGTCAGCGTACTCGGCGTACTCTCGACGCACACGTCAACTGTCGCATATACTTATTCACCATGACTTGTACATATACGCGCAAAGACCGTATAAATAATACCAGTTGAATATAATTTCTCGCCCGAATGTTGGTCAAATTATATTACATTCATACATATATTTGCAATACCGAAGAACTGGGAAATAAGTTTATTAGAAGTAGAGGCAAATGACTGTTCATGTGCGTATGTATATGTATATGTTAATCTTTATGTATGTATGTATGTACATATCTAACACGATGAACAACCTATCACGAATCACGACAGACACAACCCAGCACGTCTATCTTCCCACATGAATTCACCAATTCATCGATCACTAATAATTCATTGTCAGATCTCGCCACCAGTCTTCCTTTTTGTTGGTATAATAACCTCGTTTCTGTCTCAATTTTGTTTTGCTCTTCGTGTTAAACGAACGTGTTCAGATCGAATTTTGAAACCCTAATGAACACGTGGACATGTAAGTATTTTGAAGACGGGGTACTGTTCAAGGAGTTACAAGTTGTAACTTTCATGTTTAGAATCATTAATTTAATTCGTACGTGCGCGTTGTATCGAAACAGGCATTAATGTAGAAATTAGAGAAAGAAGAAGAAGACGAAATATAAGTCGGTATAATGTTACTCACCGATAAATTGTAGGTAACGGATAATAGTCATCGTCTTCCATACTACTGTTTGTATTCGCATTGTTATTTGTATCATTTCCTGCCGTGGACGTATTACCAAGATTGCACAACATTAAACGAGACATTATACGGCGTGTATTCAGAAGTGTTGCAGCGAAAAACTGGAACTGTTTTCGGAAGAATCGATAACTTTTCAGAGTCGAGATGGAAGTAAAATCTAATTCGATTCGCACGATCGGATGGCGACCCAGTAAAGAAGCGGCACCGGTTCGTTCGAATGTCACTCGATCACTGAATGTACATCGAGTCGTTATCTTTTCATATCATAACGCTCTATGTATTTATTGCGTGTACGTTTTATAGGCACTAACTTTTCTTTACTTTAAGTTATTTAGGCACCACAGTAAAGAATGCAAGTACTGTCCGTAACTATTCTGGCACGTAGCGATGGGACATTTTGTGACCTGTTTAGTCGCTTCGATCATTACACTACACGAAAACCAGAGCATGAAACTCTACTCGTCAAAAGCAACGTGCGTTATATACATATATATATATATATATATACTATATAATACCTGTATATAAACGAACTACGGTCGATATGAGTTTCGATATGTGGTATGATTGCTATTTTTAAACACACAGCCGCGACGATGATTATTGCCTTCGGTTTCGCTGCTTGTAATATTCACTAAACCACTCTTTATCAAGTCACTGATCTATTAAAAAATTCACTCGCTGGACTGGCACTGTAGATTCCGCTTTCAATCTGTACGATAACTTTGGCTCCTGGTTCAACATCTAATTGCAACTTCAACCCCGACTTGTTCGATTTCAGTTTAGATCTCGATCTTGACTTCGACTTGGATCAATGTTTCAATCGCAGACGTGCTTCCAAAATTGCGTGGCAACATCAGCATTAAGCTTTGTTGTCGATTCTGTGTACGTCATCAAGATCATTGCATATAAATGCTATTTTTGTGATGTTCGTTATGACCGATATTTTGGATACTTTCGTGGTACCGTTCTCTGTTTAATCGATCTTGGGTTTGGTTTTCAAAAAGTCGACTAATGTGTTCGTTTCGTGGACAAACGGTAGCGAATGTCACTGGAAAGGAAAACACTGAAACGCGAAACACAAAGTTTGTAAAAACACGAGGATCTTGTAGAAATGGCAAGTGTTGTACCTTGCAACGTGTAGCAAGTAACACTGCACAAGTTCGTTCCACAGCGACTCCCTCCTTTAGAGCACCAGCAGCTAGGAGCCTGCGTGCCTCCGTGCCTCCGTACCTCCGTACCTTCGTACCTTCGTACCACCGTACACCACCGTTCCTCTGCACTTCCTTGAGTACGTGAGAACCGGCGCGGCGAGCGAGTAAAAGCGCGCGCGCAGACGCCCGCGCACTGCTCCGCATGGGCAATATCGCTCTGTATACCCCTATCAACCCCTATCGTCGCTACGTCCCTTGGCAGAGGGTTGCGGTTGCTCCCAGAGCGCATGACGTTGCCTAGGTCGCATTCAGCGCATTCGGCGCATTTGCCGCATTTGTCGCATCGAGTCGCCCTCGAAGCTATATGTCTCTCTCTCTCTCTCTCTCTCTCTCCCTCGTTCGTTTTCTCTCATTTTTTCCTCTACTTCCTATCACATATACATAGGTGCCCTTTGTTAATCACAGATTCGATCCTAACTCTCTCTTGCAAATCTTAATAAATAGTTAAAATTTTCATCGGCATCAGGACTCCTCCGTTTTCTTTGTTCTCTTTGCTGCCCTGACATCTTGTCCCGGCTACCCGTGATGAATAAACGGGCCTGGTTAAAGCTTACTTCTTTGATTCACGATCGATCGTAATACCTATCCGTACATAGGCACGTGGACGCGTTTGCAAGAAGCCAACGATAAAGAAAGAAAGGATTCTCCGCGAGTATCTAAACAAAATGACAACGACCTCTGCGACAACGCCGCATTGCGGATCTGGTGTGCTGACGCGCAGTTGACCCCTTCCTGAGCCGTTTATGACCGCCCACGTTGTCCGACCTACCGACCTATATAGAACATGTGCGTCCAACCTACTACCATCCGACCTTCGTTCCGACCGGATCCGGCCCGGTCCAGTCCGGTCTCTTTCACTACACGTAATTCTTTGTCAGATACTATGTAAATACGTCAGGGTATCACCTGCATCTGTAGTAGGTATGTATCGTAAATTCCTCGGCAAAGACCATGCTTTGCCTTGCCTACATTTACCAGCCATTGTCTTCCATTGCCTTGACAGAAAACGATTCACACCACTCCTGTATATTTCAATCATTTATCGCACATTGCTTCGAAATAATTAGACACGCGCCCGACTGTAACACACGATATTGTCTGAGTCGAGTTGTTCGCGGAAAGAAGCAGGTTTTTATGTATGTTTTTTCTTACCTGTCAAAAAACTGCAACGTTCCGACGTGCTTCTGCTCCTTGCTGAAACGAATCTGCGACGCGTGGTCGTTGCAGATTCTCTTCTTGGGTTCGTACAGATACTCCATCGTTGAAATCGTGCCAAAGGTCTCGAAAACATTGATTAGAGTTGCCAACGCGCGAACTCGTCGCATCCGTGAATCCTACTGCCGCATTTTTGCCGATTAACTGTGATACACTTTTTCAAGCATCGGAAAAGCAATCGGAAGAAATAGAACAAACAATTGGCTTGGAATATACATATACGATAAAACCGCGCGCGGATCGATACTTTCTTTTTAATAACTTATTACAGTACTTTATTAAACTCTTTAAGTTCGTAGATTACCTATACATATACACACAGCGGTGAATGTACACGTCAATGTATTCTGTATCAAACAAATGAGTGGCATCTCTCTTAGTAACGACTTCGCACATAATTATCATCGATCTGATCGAATATTATCAGTATTTTGCAATTTTCTCCCTCCAATAATAGGTTATCGTAATTCTTCCGCAACAATAACCGATTATCGAAAGTTCATTTAGTCTTACTCACTTACGTGTATACATACATACGTAAAAAGAGCGCGTCCATCCGTTGTTTCTAATATGTATGTTAACAAATCCGCGCGTCCGTAGAAGCAGCAGTCTTTATTCATTATCGCACGATTGTAAATACATATACACATACATGTACATATGTATCTATGTATGTGTGCATGCATGCGTGTATGTGTGTATGTATGTATGTATGTATGTATGCATGTGTACATGCATGTATGCACGTATACACGCATACATGTATGCATGTATGCATGTATTCATGTATTCATGTATTCATGTGTTCATGTATTCATGTATGTATGTATATATGTATGTTGTATGCATGTATGTATCTACTGTACATATACCCGTTTCGCTCATCGCGCTCTTTCTTTCTTTTTTATTTTTATTTTCCTCGAGGTTTTTCTTTTGCACCGCGAGTTCGGATACAAATTTTTGCAGTTCGATTATATCTTATAACTTGTTACATTATCGCCAAAGTCTGTCAGGATCATATGTTCACGCAATACATACTTTTCCTCCTTGACGCAAGTATATCTTACTTCTCGAAAATGGATTCTAGACCGTCCAACTCTACTTTTTTACGTTTATTTCAGTTTCCTCGCTCCCGATTGAAAATCATGCGCTGTTCGCGGCAAGTGGAACAACGAGGACGAGAAAAACATTTTATATAGAGCGATAGAGGAATTTAGAAAGGTTAGAATGTTAGACACGAAAAACTTAGCCAACGGTTCGGCTGTGATACAACGAGGAGACACGGAATTGTATTCGTATAGAGGAAATTGTAGAGAAGCCAAATAGAGAAAGAAGGAAGGGTGGAAAAAGCTACGAACCCAATAGATAAAATGTGCGCATTACACGACTGTTCGCGAGGAATGAACGACACGACGATACGCAGAGACCTTCGGTCGAGAAGTCTCTTAAAATTGATACGAAGAAAGAAAAAGAGTTTTCGCGTAATATAAAACAGTATTCTGCGGTTCACAGCGTTGCTCGTCGGTTCTTAGAGAACATACGATAATCAATTAAGACCGTATCGAATATCGTTAAAAGTTTCTACTTTTGATTGCGTATCACTTGACCGTCCTTTGACAGGTGGGCAAATTTACCCTGAAGAATACATTGAGCTCTATCAACGAGGCTAATATCAGGAACACAGCATACATACATAAACAGGCTCGGCCTACTTTTCTATCGAGCTGAAACTTATTCGAGGCAAAAGCAATATACAGTAACATCAATGTCGACAACAACGATATGGCGCTATATTCCAGTCCGCCGGAGTTTATGCTGATGTAATGTTTTCCAGGCTGCGTTGGCGAAAATGAAGATTTAATCAGCCACGGTAGACCCAGACATAACAATATGTCGAAGGTGTTTGATCCTATGGAGTTACTGATTCCCATCGAACCATGTCCTAAACAGAAAGAAAATACTGTTACAAGTTTCACGGCATAACAAAGCTTACAACACGCGATATTTGATTATACGATTATTGACAAGTGACAAGAAACAAGGGACAACTTTTTGATTTATTGATTTATTTATCCATTGATTCGTTGATTCGTTAATTCGTTGATTCGTTGATTCGTTGATTCGTTGATTCGTTGATTCGTTGATTCGTTGATTCGTTGATTCGTTGATTCGTTGATTGGTTGATGCATTGATTCATTGATTCATTGATTCATTGATTCATTGATTCATTGATTCATTGATTCATTGATTCATTGATTCACTGATTTATTGATTATTTTAAATGGTACGTATGATTACAACTTTACCTTGCTTCGCCACTATCACACTCGATACAGCCTCCGGAACGCTGGTACCGGCCGCAAGGAAGGTAATACCCATAACAGAGTCCGGTATCTTGAGGGTATCCCCTGAAAATGTAACGCAACGTTGAGTTCTCGTGTGCAATTCTACTTAACATATGTATTCACTGGCAGCGCTAGTCTCCATACCGATTATTGTTATCATCCACGCGACAACGTAGCTCAATGATCCAATCCAAATAATACACATAAGAAATGTAACCGGAAACCAATTCTTGAATCGTGGCTTTTCACAATCTGGTATCGTACACATGAATATCAGATGAATCGGCCATGTCAGGATCCAAGCCGTTTTTCTTATCCACCCAGCCCTTGCCGGCCAGACCAATAACTCGTACTCATAACCTGCGTAGTAAATACATATAAAATCCCAGAACTTTCCCTGTGATCGAATGATCTGTTAGTTTAGTCGCGGTAAAGTTACGGTTCTTTTTCCCTTCCTCGTTCCACCAATCCTTGTATTTTACGAAAACGTTATGGTACGACTATTCCATGACAAATAGAAATGGGCTAAAGATGAGTATCGATCGGATAATTCGTAGTCGCTTAGAATACCTGGGTACTCGTATTTTAGACAGGATAGACGCGATAAAAACACAAACAGGTTACGGACCGGTTAAACCCCAGATAAAGCATTTTAACTTACCGGGTTCGGGATTCTCTTCCTGAGTTTTAGTTCCTCCATTTTGTAAAGGTACATCTGTGCGTTCGGCTTGATCACCGGTCGGTTGCAGTTTATCGGACCTCGCCAAGCGAATTTCAATGCTGCTATCTAGAGCAAGGATTATTCGTTTATATCTTGCACCCGTATTAAATTTGTGTTAGTTTTTCTTTCGTCTTTGCACACTTGCAACCATATGGTACATACGTTGTTACAAATATTTTACCCTAAACTGTAGGCTAATTACTCTGATCTGTCCAAGAAAGTGAGTGTTGAACAAGTAACGCGTATTGGAGTTTTCACTTTTCGAAACAAGTAAATGTCGTATAGTTTTACCTGCCGCAAACCGACGGTCGTCCGATGATGATTGATCAACATTATGCGTGCGGAAACGTGTGCATCGTTGAAACGATTTATCCCAGTACATCACGGCGATGTAAACGATGTAGAGTAATACTAGCGTCAACGCCTCGTACCATTCTACTCTCTCGTCATGTATAATACATATTAAAATGGCAACAGTAACGCCATAGGCAAGACAGTCTCTGCTAACCGGCCACCAGTCTAGAGGGACTACCTGTGTATATTGACCGACATATGTATGTATGTACATGGTATGTATGTATGTATGTATGTATGTATGTATGTATGTATGTATGTATGTATGTATGTATGTATGTATGCATGTATGCATGTATGCATGTATGTATGTATGCATGTATGTATGTATGCATGTATGTATGTATGTATGTATGTATGTACATACATATTATAATATGATACATTGCATTACGAACTGATTTCAAAAGCAAACTTACCATTCCGGCACCTATACCACAACAAGCTGGCACGGCGAGGATATTGAATACAGCCGAGCCTACTATTGTTCCGACACCGATGTCACCTTCGGTGATAAACGTACCGATCGCGTTTACAAACAATTCTGGTGCCGACGTTGCCGCAGCCATAAAAGTGGCACCAGCCACGTCCTTCGACATCGAGAGTGCTGTAATTATGTCGAAATGTTACTTCGGTACATACACAGTTTTCCATAATGTTTCTTTCTGTTTAGAAAGAAGTAATAAAAGTTCGGCGGCACAATTATTAATAATATTCCGTCGGTGAAATATTCTGTGCGAAACGACAGTGACTGCATTTAACTGCATCGTGTAATATAATATACATTGTACATTGAAAGTAAATAGAGCAAATCAGGAGTTTTCTTACCGTGACAAATCTTTTCCACGGCGGGTACAAAAAATTTGTCGCATACTACTGCTAACGCGATAAATAGATAAAGTGAAACGATCACATGTACGACGACAGCTCCGTCTTGCCTTTGCTTCTCGTCGAATAGATCGTGTGGGAAATCCTCTATCGCCGGAGGTGTACAATTTATACCTAAAAGGTGAAATTGTCTAAATGTTAAACGTACCATTTGGAATGTCGAAAATATGAATCGCCTTGAAAAGACGTTGGAACAATTATCTCTATGGAAAAATGTTTAAAACTGATGCCCGAAGAACCGTAACAACTGTTTAGAAAGTCTATCCGGTTTGAAAATTTTATGAATTCATCACGACATTACTGGTCCCCACATTGTTCGACGAAGTGGCAGCATGACCGAAGAAAGAGAAAGACCAAGAGAATGACCAATGACAATGTTCAATTTCCGTAGTCACATTGCATTGCATACTGTGTATATACATAATGTAGATGTGGGCACATATATTGTATACGTCGTTGTTTCGTTGCTTTCAATTTTATGACGCGTCGTGGATAATTGTGATTAGCAGTACCGTACAATCATCGATTCGACTGGAACGATTGGTCGTGCCTCCTCGTATTGTTATCTTTTATCCAATTTCGGACAAATCCGTTATATAAGTTTCGGCGACCTTGAATACAAACGTGGGATACACAGTTTGCTCAGTGATTACGAATCAGGTTAATTGCTTGTATTCGCTTGAGCAACGACGGTAACCAGAAACATACATGCATGTATGTATGTACATAAACAGTTCACCGACCTTCGCTGAGCATTCGATTACATGTACTTCTGTATAGAGTTTTACGCTCGCAAAGTAGAAACTGTTGAAAATACATAAAAGATTAGTAGCACGTTAGTTGACGCTCTATATTTACATTAATTCCAGATAGGACGTGACGCCTTGAAAACGTCCATTTTACGGCTACTTTTAGGACTGAGGCGCATTTAAGGCGTCATTAAGCCGTCTTAAGCCGTCTGTGCGCTATTTGGAAATTAAATTAATCGTTGCTTGAACACTAATTCTTCGATAATTAACATGTTTCTCAACGGAATAAGAAAGTTTAATAACTACAGCATTTTGCGTGCAGATGGCTGATAATTATAAACGAAAGTGGATACTGTCATATGTATATGTATATGTATATGTATATGTATATGTATACGTTTACGTTTACGTATGTATGTATGCATGTGTAAAAGTAATAACGATAGTCATAATATCAATAGTAACAACATCAACGATGATAACAATAACAATAGCAATGTATTAAAGTGGAAAAACATATTTGTCAATCAAGTATTATCCTTTAATTGTCATAATAAATAACTAAACCGAAAGCACGACACAGTAGTCACACACTGATTGCAAGTATTATAGCATACGGACCAGCTAGAATAATTGTGCGGAGTAGGCAACCTACGAGTAGTATGACCTGCATATACATATATGTATAATCACCAAAGTTGGAAATCAAAGTCAGTGTATAAGTATATTGGTCCATGAGCATTAATGACGTACACAATTCGCTCTATCGCGCTGTCCTGAACGTAAAGGTAGCGGTCCATTTGAGACTATCTCGCGCAAGTTGCGCTCGGGAGTAGGTACTGTCACGTTATACAAAAAGCGAGTGGATACGCGTCTGAGAGTGACTGTCCGAGAGCATCACTGTCTGTGTGTTTGTTGTATGCGTAGTGACAGTACTCTCGAGCGCAACTCGCGCGAGAAACTCTCAAATCGACGGCTACTTAAGACTATCAACAATAGGCAAAACATGTTTTTTTTTGGGATTTGATAGTTACAAATAGAATTACCCGATTTTACATTTATCTTTTCAATTGGTCACGTCGAAAATCTATATCGCCTAATAGATGTGATAACAACAACAACAACATCAATAATACAACATTGAACAGAGACGATTTTCAAGCATGTTTAGTTACATTCGTCATATGTAAGTATGTACACCACTTTTGAAATGGTAAAGTGCAAACGGTGATTGAACCTCAATAGCATAGAGTATAGAGGTATAGAGTCTACATAATATGGTGTCGTTACACTTCTGTTTCATCGTAAAATTCTATTTTATCTTTTATGCTGCGGTTTCTGCAGCCTGAAGTACATTGATAAAAAGCCGGTGTTGTATCTGCCGTACAGTGCAAGTGGCATGATAAGAAAATAACTAAAGGATAGACAACCAGCTATCGAATAGATGTTCAAAATTTCAGTGCTTCGCATAAACATTCATACAACCGAGCGACCAATTTTAAGCACATTTCGACTGGTTTGCTGATACACGGGAGAAAATACATATACATACATATAGGCAGATGCACAACGAGAAAGAGACGCAAAGGAAAGGCGTTCAAACTGTAATATGTATGTATACATATATGTATTATATTATACATATAATAGCTATATATATTGTGTAGCAGTAAGCAAACAAAAAAACATTATTATAAAAGGTATAGTGTGTAAATACACTTTGTCACGCACTTTTTAATTGTAAGGAAATGCTTGAGCTCAATGCATCGAATCTTCATTGATTCTCTCATCAATAATTCTACTTATCGATCATTGCTTATGCACTTGGGTTAACATTATTCTTTTACTTTATTCTTTCGATTCGATTCGATTCCATTCGATTCGATTCGAATTTCTGTATTTGACTATCTGCTTCCGAACATGACATATCAATTGTGTCATCCCAACAATAATTATAATTTCAATTCCTTCTGTTCTTTTTCCTCTCTGTAAAAATACTACAAAATATTTAATCGATTCTCTCTTGTATAAATTTCGTATACACTCGGTTAAACCTAACAAAATAGCCATTCCCACTTTTTCCTTAACAACTTCTTTTTACGAGAAACAAAAGAACACTTATACTTCCGAAGGTATGTGTACGTAGGTAGGTAGGTAGGTATGTATGTACTCGTATGTATACATATACTGTTAAGCGCACGAGTGTCTATAACTTTATATTTTCTGTGTAAATCTGCTACATTCAACGTTTACAATACGTAGACACGATAATCATTGAAAATAATTACTATATAATCTAAAGAAAATAGTCACTCTTTCTATACGATATTTGCTTTCTTCTGTACATTCTATTGTTCTAATTAGCTGATCTTCGTGATTTTTTTTCTATAATTTCTTACTGAGAATGCAGTGAAGCAAACTATGCGCGTGTTGGTGTCCTGTACAGGTTATACAGCTGTATAGCTGATGTGACTTCCTACCGATTAAGCAACCTAAAGAAGTTAAATTGCTCTCATTCAAGTTGGCAGAGGAGATGCCATTCAGGTCTAATGTACGTCGTATAAACTAGATATAACATGGCTCGGCCATTCAGTCTGGAATGGTTTCGTCTCGTTGGAAACAAACGATAATCATCGGCACACTTGTCCATCGTTAATTGTCAGTCCATCAATTAGTAATCCATCGATCTTCCTACGTACGGCATTGCATGAAGAAGCTCGAGGTTTCGATGGACGTTGCTCGATTATACTGTAAATTCAATTTATATCATGACCTATAGACACCTGACCCATCATTTCCCTTTTCCTATACTCTTTAAAATAAGTAGTATGCCAGTATGCGTCATTGATATTTCGGTTTTTTCTCCTCAAACGTCGCTTATTCGATGTTTTGTTTCACGTTGATATATGCATATATGTATGTATGTATGTATGTATGTATGTATGTATGTATGTATGTATGTATGTATATCGGAACAACAAATTGTCCTCTTATTAAATATTCAAAATCTATATCAATTACAAGCCTTTTGACTACTTAAACGATAAGATCACAATGAAATAGTGCTTTTATCGGTGTAACGATTCCCTCGGTAAGATAATTCAATTCAAGTTTGTTCGTGGTGTCACGTATCTTCATAATAAACATTCTGCCAAAGTAAAGCAGAAAAACTATTAATCATTTGTATATGTTCTTTGTTCATATTTCCGGAAGATCCGAAACAATACGATCCGAGAACACGTATGTATACATGTATGATACATATGTATATTACCGAGAGTATCACATGGACTGCGAGACATTAGAACAACTAACGTACTCACTGGCTCGGTACTGCATAATTAAGCGATCGTTACACCACTGTTATTGACTGGCAAATACATTTTCAACGATATTTACAGCAACTGATCTTATAGGGAGAACCGAGAATGGTGACTGGAACGATACCATCTTTGGACCAAATAAATAATTTTGAAAATTTCTAACCAACAATTTTTCTTTTCTTGTATGCTTGCGAGGACAGATTTGTCGTGTTTGGAAGCAGATGAGCAAATTAGAAACTAGAATTTACAATAGCGATAGTCTTTTCATCTAACATCATGTATTTGTAATGTGTGTTTTGTGTTCGATTTTTTATAATCGAATTTTTTTATACATACATCATTCCTTGACGATTATTGACAATTAAATCACAAATATTGTTCCGCGATAGAGAACGCCACAGGTCACACAGTCACACATCCGTCATCATTTAATATAATGTGCACCATATTTAAAAAAGCGTTCTGTTCTACTTTTTGCAATCTTGCATCTTCATATTATCGTTCCTCCCTTTTCTTCCTCTTTCGCTATCACCTCACCTCCTAGTCGATGTCGCTGTCGACCTCCTTCTCCTCCTCCTCCTTTACTTTCTCCTCCTACTTTTAATCTTTCCTCCACCTCCTCCTTAATCTCCTTCTGCTCTTTCCCGTCTTTCTCGCCCAACCTTTCCTCCACCTATTCTTTTTCCCCACTCTGCTCCTGATTCACAATCTTGTCCTTCTTGGTTTCTTCCTTCCTCTGTGTAGCTTCCCTTTATATTTTCCTTTTTTCACTTTTGTATCTATTTGTTGCCACTGAAAGTGTTGCTAATCCTGTCGGATCGAGCGACATTTACATTTTTTAATAGCAAAGGGGAAGTCCTTCTCTTCCTTTCACTCCTTCTCCTTCTCCTCCGTCTCCTCCGTCTCCTCCGTCTCCTCCGTCTCCTCCGTCTCCTCCGTCTCCTCCGTCTTCTTCGTCACCTCCGTCTTCTTCGTCACCTCCGTCTCCACCGTCTCCTCCGTCTCCTCCGTTTACTTCTCCTCCTCCTTCTCCTCTTTTTCCACCACTTCCTCCTCCTGGACCAGCTCCTGCCCTTCCCCTCCTTCTCCTCCAGCTCCTGCTGTTCCCCCCCCCCAACCCCTCTTTCTAAATCACACCCCCTGATTATCTTGCTTTGAACCGAATGCGATGTACCACTATACTCACTGATTACCGGTAATATTGAAATATATTCAAACGAACCTCCTCCTAAGTCAGACGTATCCATGTTGTCAATCCCGTTGTCACACATATACTACATTAACAACTACTCCGAAGTCCGGCGGCGTTTGTTGGAATCGCCCCTCCTTCTGACTCTTCTCTTCTCTGATCTCTCGCGCATCGCGCTTGTTGAGTCGTGCCTCGGTCAAAATGCGAAATCGTCATTGCACTAATCGTCATTGTCTTCCTTGAAAATTAAACGTTGTATCATGTGTAATTCTTCTCGATTTTGCAACAAACGAAACAACACATTTTTTTCTCTCTTTCTGCAAGTTACCCTGTATAGTACCATAATCCATATACATATGCATGCATGTATGTATGTATGTAACTATAAACGAAAAAACTTCTTCCTATAGAACTGAAGATCTAATAGATAAATTAATAAACGAATAGAAGGACAAACTACAAATGTATCGATTATTTGGCGCAGCCGACACGAATGCCAATCACAAGCAATTGTCATACCTACGTAAAATTTTCTTTTCAGCAGAAAGACGGTAATTAATTTCTTTGCATCAATAGTAATAGAAACGCGATGTAAAGGCCGTCGGTCCGTTGCAAACTGCAACGAATATACAATTACGGAAGAACGAGAAAAAGAGGTAATCAGAAAGGAAAAGAGGAATAAATTATTTCCGAATCTGGTAAAAGGCAATCCGTCGAAACTGTAAAAGTACAGTTGCGCGTATAAACACTTGGGTACAGTGAAACGTAAAATGATACATAACCGTGAGTAATCGATGGATGATCAAACAATTTCTGCAAATTTAGAACGCATGCCGCTGAAATATTCAGAAGCGATCAATGGGTATTTAATCAGTAGCCTTTTAGTCCCAGGTACTGCTCTTTCCTTTTGTTGGATTATCAGCAAAGGGATGTCTTGTCTCACTTCATACCTATAGTATCTTATCTGTGTAAAGTTATAGCCGATAATGCCCGTAAACGAAAAATGTCGATGCGCTATAACGTCCAACTCCGCGAATCAAAATCAGTATCGAACGGAGCGGCGCGTCACATCGTGGATCCGATTTCTGAAACTTCTTTCTGACCGATCAATACATCAACCTCCCACATGGCGCGAAAATATACACGAATGACGAGTTACAAAATAATCTGTATGATCGTCGTACCGACGTTATATTTACTTTTCGTAAATACGTTGGCCACATTTCTTCCAAAGGTTATGGAAAGTACGAATAATCCTATGGATATGCGTAAGTGAATTCTCTCAATCTTTTTCGTTACCTACTCACCTTCTCATTCACCTATACCTACCGGAGTGGGTAGACACACCAACGTACAAGCTGGAATAATTTCGGTAATATGTGTTAAAATAATCGAAAACTCATTTGGAGTGAACGTACGATTAATAAGAAGCGATATCGAATAAAAAGCGCTTACCGAATTTATACATCCGTTAGATATTTCGACGAAACACGTATACATATACATACATATATACATATACACAACATATAAGAGTATGCGTAACACGTATGTAGGTTGTATGTACCTACACATACGTGTATATTTGTTTCGAGGGAAAGAATATACTCTATACTCTATCTATACCATTCGCGCGTAGGGAGTAGGGATATATTGTATGGGCAGTAAAGATTAATGGAAATTTTAACAGTAACCACCATCATTCGATAGACCATAGTTCTCCTGTTTCGTTTTCACTCCTACGTTTTCTCTTTCTTTTGTCAAGAATCTGCTCACCACTGTTTCTTTATTAGTGTTTGTTGCGTATGTGCGCGTGTATGCGAATAGTATATATTATCGTAAACAAACATATTTTCTGTCAAGGGTTTCGCAAACTCTTGCAGTTAAACTCGAGTGCCATGGGACCAGGAGGAGGAATAGAGGACACCAAAAATTGTACTTCACCAGCGATCAAAGAGTTTCCGTCCGATGGCCTCACGCGACCACAAAGACAATCGGGATTTATAATTGTACATTTTTTAATAGCGATTTACATGTTCCTATTGCTAGCTATCGTTTGCGACGATTTCTTTGTTCCGTCGATAAAAAAAATTTGCTATAGTAAGTTAAATCGAGAGAAACTTTTCATTCTTTCTACCTATACGTTCGAACATGCAAGGTAAGAAGCGGTGTGTTTGTGCAACGAGTAAAACTAATAATTTCCAGAGATCAATGTAACGGAGGATGTCGCAGGCGCAACGATAATGGCCGCAGCCAGTTCCAGTCCGGAATTGTTCATTAATATCGTAGGTACTTTCGTCACGGAAGGAGATTTAGGTGTTGGTACAATTGTTGGTTCTGCTGTTTTCAACATATTAGCCGTACCTGCCTGCTGCGGCTTATTCGCAAATCAAGTACGAATTTTTCACCACCTTGCTAACAAAGTGATATAATAGGATTGTAAAAACTTTCGGATATTTATTTACGCAAGCAGCTGTCACTGAGAATAAAAGTTATTAAGAGACATGCTAAGTGAATATATGTATATGTATATATAATTGTACATACTTGTTCACAGGTACTGAATTTGGAATGGTGGCCTGTTACACGAGATTCTATTGCATACGCAATTACAGTTGCTCTATTAATTTTGACGCTGCGTGACGGACGCATCGAGTGGTACGAAGCATTGATTCTCATACTCGTCTACATTCTTTACATCTCTGGTAGGTATAGCGTAATGATTCGTTAAGCCGATTCAATCCATCTTTGCAACTTCATAAATCGCAAATTAAATTTTTCATTTCTGTTTAATATAATTTCTCACGCTCTTATCCCAAAATTTCCATGCTGGTCACACACATATTCGCATTGTTAAATTAAACATTAGAAACCAACGTGGCCCGTTTCAGCAATGTGTTTCAATCGTCGTATCAACGACTTTCTTCAGCGCTCAACAACGACCAGAAGAAAGTATAAGAATCTTACAGAAGAAAGTCCCTTGATTCCTAATGGTAAGATTATGCCACTTGTACTTTACGTTCTTGTATTACATGTACATACATACATACATACATACATACATACATACATACATACGTACATACGAACATGCGTACGTACCTATACATAAGTATAATATCTTTTGTCGAGCTTACCTACACTTATAAAATAGAGACTGAAAATACCAATTCATCTTTTCGATTTTCTCAGATACAATTAAAACCGCGGATATAGGTCTGTTGGAGTCGGGAGAAATGGACGAATCCCGTAAGTATACGAATACATATGTATAGTGCGCAATTTATAACACGGTTTCTGACATGACAAACAATAGGTTTGCTCACAATTTCTATACGATCCACAAGAACGGCCGAATGTAACAATTAGTACCTACAGTAACAAGCAATGCGTTGTCCTAAGTCATTTCAAAGTGAAACACACTTACAAAATGTGTACTTAATAAGTACTACTTATGTACATATGTATACATATAACTATGTACATTGTGTTTCAGTCGATATCGTAAATATGCAAAGTTGGCCAATCTCAGCATGCGAAAAAATGTGGTGGGTGATTACATGGCCGATTAATTTCGTACTTCTCATTACAATTCCCGATTGTAGAAGACATACATTGAAATCTTGGTACCCACTCACCTTTACCATGTGCATAGTATGGATTGCAACTACTTCCTATATAGTAGGATGGGTTATCACAATCATCGGTACGTGTTTCATAATACTTTGGTAATCTTTTAATTATTTTTCTTTCGTGCAAGTAATTGAAAATGACACAGTTGTGTCGTGAAATGTTCTTTCAACATCGCGTGACATTCAATTCCAGGCGATACATTTAGGATCCCTGACTCTATAATGGGATTGACCTTTCTTGCGGCAGGAATGAGCGTGCCAGAAGCTGTGTCAAGTGTTATAGTTGCGAATCAAGGTAATTCTCGTCTTTTTAAGTGCGCATTCCTTACACCGTTCGGTATTATAGACATATCGAATAGAGGACACATACAAAGCTACCCGTCGCGTCGTTTAAATTCACCTCAAGATAAAACATCGTGTCTACCAATTTGCTGCTACGAATACGATCCATCATGATAATCAATAGAAATCAGAATAGAATAACAACTACCTAGCTAATAACAATATATTGTAGTATGCATATGTATACGAAATACGATCGTGTAAGTAAAGACTCAAAAGACTGACGATGAGTTATATGCGTGTTGTATTGTATGTATAATATATATATATATATATATATATATATATATTTATTTATTTATGTATATCTACATACATGTACATATATATGTATACATATGTACATACAAGAATGCAGCACACGGATTATCGCCACTCAATTATCGAATTTCAATGATCCTGGAATCGTTGCCACTTTCTATGTGTTACTCCCTTTCCATCAAATGTATAACCGAATGTTTACGGTATACGTCTTCTAAATGCTTTTTCTATTTTCAGGACACGGAGCCATGGGCATAAGTAATTCGATCGGTTCGAACGTGTTCGACGTATTACTCTGCCTCGGATTACCTTGGTTTTTAAAGGCGGCATTTTTTCCGAAAGTGCCTCACGAACATTATATAAAGATTAATTCGCAGGGATTAATTTACAGTTCAATATCATTGTTTTCTACTCTCACAATCCTTTACTTATCCCTCGTCATTGCCAAATTTAAATTAACGCGAACCGTTGGGATCGCTTGTCTCATAACATACGCCATTTTCTTGATGTTTGCTTCTATCCTTGAGCTTAATACGTTCTTTGTAGTTAATTTACCAATGTGTGTTGACTGATAGTTGGATATCCATATTATTACAGACCTATTTATCGTTCATCCTCAAACGGTACTAAAAAACGTAACATTTCGAACAAATCATACCGCAAACATTCAATTATCTATGTATATATGTATATAATTCTGTTCCTTCTTGGCAAATAAGGTGCATCGAATTGTTGACATGCCAGTACCAGCCGGTACAGATATCGGCTATACATATGACGATCCCATTGTGCTCGTAAACAATTGCATTTAAGCTTCGAAAGGACTTTGATAATACATAATTATAAATATATTTTATGTATCTATGTACATATGTTTTCGATGCGAAAAAGACGTGCGAGTATGTGTGCATTAGGATGGGCCTTATTTTTCAACATCCTATTTATTTTGCTCTCACCCCCTAGTACGTTTCCATTGTATAAAAAGATAATCCATGAAAAAGTTTATTACAATTGGACAACAGAAAAGAGTGCCGACCAGGTCTTAAAGTTTTGAATTTATCGATGTTTTTGGAGTTTATAAAGACTTTCTCAAAAATGGTAAGTCTCATCGAAATTTTGTTCAAATAATATTAAAAGAGCATTAAATTTGCTATAATTTCTCCCTATGTGTCTTTTTTTCCTACCCCCATCCATTTTTAAAATAATAGCGTTTGAATACTGGAAAATTCAAGTTATAAATTATTACTTAATGTTAAGATTAATAACAATACATCTGATGTAAGTATGGTAAGTTAAATAATAAATAAATATGTATGTAGGTATAATATTAATTATCAGATATTATTTGCAAAAGCATACATATAATTAGTTTCAGAGATATTCTGAATATATTCAACTTGAGGCACAAGGTCTGCGAGATCTGCGACGCAAAGCTGCCCCAAAAATATCTAGACAAACCATAAACCAATCCATCTTTCTAAGTATATTGCAAACATAAACCCAGTAAAATATAGAATACATAACAAGACAATGATGTTATACTTAGAAAAATGGGAAAACCCCTTATTTTTGTAAAAACAAAAGAATAAATAAAGATTCATCAGTAACATAAATAATTCATTTATTAATAATAAAATTAAATTAAATATTTAGTAGTAACTGAAACGGAAAACGTAGTCTTTGACTTCGCAAGTGAATTAAATTTGCTACATTTAAGTAGAAAATATTTCTGAATATTTCATTGTGGAGGTAGCATCCATATTGAACAAGGTTATGTCAATCATAACATAGATGGTAGATGGAGATGCTGCAGGTAGCAATGCAGAAAAACTTGTTCTATACATATTTGAAAACAGCATTTTTGGAAACTCACACCTACCATATATACCTATATTATTTTAATATTGAAAATATTTAAATACAGATTCCTTAATTATTAATATAAACAACATTGTATTGTGTTGAGAGTAATTACAATATCAAATATTGATGGGTCCAATATACTCAGTCCATTCGATACCAGTACTTTTTTTCGATACCTACTTGGTATCGCAACCGTACGTATCGATACCAAAAATACTCGGTATCGAAACAAATGTATCGAGTAATGTATCTACACCCGCGAGCAAACTCGGCTTCCACTAGGGGAAAAAGTAATATAGGAGTTAGGACCTCTACTACTTGGTATATTTATTTCAAACACTGAAATAAATGTTAAACCGAATGTTAATTTCGCATAAGTTTCACTAACTCCGAGACCAAGTGGTAGGAGGTCTTTTCCTTACATTACTTTTTCCCCTAGCGGTAGCCGAGTTTGCTCGTGAGGAGGGTACATAACATACGTATGTATAATTTTGAATCTTAAATATTCAGTGCTCATCGGGTTGCGTAGAGATTGGTAGAGATCGTGTAAATGATTGGTTAAGAAACTGCTACTGTTATAGATGGCGGTTGTATACCGGAACATAGGATCGTACAGTTGTTGGCTTTCTATACTCGCTCGAAAAATTTGTGACAGTGAAGTGTGTGTCAACGCCCAGTTGCTTGTGAGTGTTTCAGTTGAGATTTCTACGTTCCATTCTTTATTCCACTTTATTCATGTACCTACGGTTCTTACGTGGTTAAATCTTGAAAACTACAATCGGATGTATCTGTCTACACATTTGGATAATATCACTTGAGATGATAAACTCATATATTTCGTGGAATATTTAAAATGGCGATCTGAAAAAACAATAATTTCAGAGGAGACCTGTGCGTACATACCTATTATTTTCATTGCTTCGTGTTGAGGTTCGACAGACGCGTTTTTTGTTTTTCATCTACACAGTCTATTTTACATATTTCAAAATGACGAGGTTTTCGATTAACAATTGATGATTATGTCCCTTCATTTACCGAGGACACGACAGAGACGTTGTGGGACGTAGTGGAACGTGACTGGATGTAATGGGACGCGACGTGACCTGACAAAACTTGTGGGACTATATTATGTATAGACAAGACCGTATGCGGTGGAACTGAATAAGACAGAAATTCACTCATGCCGCCGACAAGTAATCTTGTGTTAAGAAGTTGTCCTCTTTATCGGATTATGATATGTCTCTAATAACACACTGTTCTTCTTGTTGTGCAGAGTGAGCCCAATAAAACGAGAAAAATGCAAACAATTAAGTGCGTTGTAGTTGGTGATGGTGCAGTAGGTAAAACTTGTCTGTTGATTTCGTACACTACCAACAAATTCCCATCTGAATATGTTCCAACAGTGTTCGACAATTACGCAGTCACAGTTATGATTGGGGGTGAACCGTATACGTTAGGATTATTTGATACAGCTGGTAAGTTTTGATTTCATCGTATGTATTGCTATTTCATTGATTCATTCATAGTTGAATATTGCTTACGGGTGTACGTGTTTGTATATGTAGATTTTCAATGTTCAAAAAAAAATCTTAATCACACTTGTAACAATTTGTCTCCTTTTTCTTGTATGTTCAAAGGTCAGGAGGATTATGATAGACTACGTCCTTTGAGTTATCCTCAAACCGATGTGTTTCTTGTGTGTTTCTCTGTTGTGTCCCCGTCTTCTTTTGAAAATGTTAAAGAAAAGGTTGGTGTCAAAAATTTGCATTGTGTCTTCCTTCGAGCAAAATACCTATAAGAATAATTGACAAATGCCTTACCAGTGGGTTCCAGAGATAACTCATCATTGTCAGAAAACTCCATTTTTGTTGGTTGGTACTCAGATCGATTTGCGAGATGATGCTCCAACTATTGAGAAACTTGCAAAAAACAAACAAAAGCCCATATCAGCGGAACAAGGTGAAAAACTCGCAAAAGAACTGAAAGCAGTGAAATATGTCGAATGCAGTGCTCTTACACAGGTATACTTGGAGCATGTAACATGGTTTCACTGTACAATATTAAATGTTTTCCCCAACGCTGGACGTTTTTCCTTTTTTTTGCTTTTCAGAAAGGCTTGAAAAACGTGTTCGACGAAGCGATTTTGGCAGCTTTAGAACCTCCCGAGCCGGTTAGAAGAAGACGATGTATCGTGTTGTAGAACGCAGCCGATATCATTTCTAAAATCTATTAGCGCAGTTCAGCGGAAGACTGTGAATCGTTTCATAATAAAGTGCATGCGAGAACATTTTCGACGATCAATAGTTTCGATATCCGAGTGAGTATCGGTACGAGCCGTCGTTCGTCGTTTCTGATGCATTCGACACGTGCTCGATTCGAACGAAAAATTCACACAAACAGAAATGAAAACAGATTTTGTACATGCATCAAATGTGCATTTGTATGTTTATGTGTATGTATTGCTATCCGTCGTCGTATTCGTTGAAAAGATACAATCGATGATCGATGATCGGTTTGACTCGAACCGATTTACTTCGATGAGCATTAATACTTTGACTATCGCAGGAAAGGAGTGGTGTATAATCACCAAGAGCAACTTTCATATTAAGATACCAGGAAAACATTGAACTATTTAATATGTAAGAGGTTTTTATCGATCAATTGCTAGTGTGAATTCTTTAATAAATCAGTTTTAAAAAAGACAATTCGAATCTATAAGTACACAGATCACGACTTATGTTTCGATGCGTATAATTTTTATCTACTGTTTTCTCATTTTCGGGGGATAATACGATTTGCGGTATTCACTCGATGTATGCTTATATAGATACATATAATAGTTATTAATCTTTATGGTACACAGTAGCGAAGTTTCTGAAATTTGTCACCAAATTAATTTTTATCAGGCCCCCAATCGTTTTGTTACGTGTTTGTCTATTAATCTGTTCTCTTGTTTGTTTGTTAACGCCTTTGCGATTTATTCATTCGTACAGCTTAACTACGTTTCATTTTCCATGAACATTCAAAGAGAAGGAATTAGCACAATTGCATGATTGAAGCTTTATTTACATACACTTTTTCACATCCTTGCATAATTAAGTAAACTTTATAGTACATGTAAAACTTGTTCTAAAATTTGGCCGTTTATTACCACGAATGTATATTTGGTACTTAACTTTGGATCGAAATTGATCACACTCGAATATCGTTATCGATATCAAATGTTAGTACCTTATCGTCTACTCTAACATTTTAATACTTTGTTTCTATATATTTAAATCGTTACAATACCGACTGCAATACACGGGGTGATTACACATACACACACATGCGCGCGTGCACGTTGCACACACACACACACATATCACATACACAGTGTATCTACACAATGCGTTTGCTCATTTCATTAATCGTTGCTGCCCCCCACTTGTTTACCGATCGTCTTACGAAGCAGTCTGTATTTGTTTGCCCGTGTAATCTCATGGTTTCTTGGAGAAACTCGAACAATACCACCGACAGATAACCAACGCTATGCATGCGTTATTTGTATGTTTATATCAGAAGAACATAGCATGCAATATGTATAAAAATTAATTAAACCTTAACGCGAGAACTTTCCTTTGACTATTGATAACTTTTAATTTTGCGTTTCGAATACTAGTTTTATTTTTGCCGATCACACGCCATTCGTTTCATTTGTTTTCTCTTTTATCGCCTTTTTCGTTGTGTCGATACTTGCAACGATTGATTTTGAAACCGCTACGTAATATTTTTCTCATAAACGCAAGACGGAAAAGAAAGGAGAAGCGGTCGAAGAAAATAAGGAATATAAAGAAGACAATCCATGAAATAAAACACGAATTCTGGGATATATTTTATCTTGAAATTTCATCATATTTTTAAGTTAAACTTAATCAAATGACCCTGAAGAAATTTTGTATGTCATTCACACTTTGCATCAGTTTAGTTGAACCGTTTCTATTTGCGATGCATTTCACCTTTTCTTTTTCATCATGATACTCTTAATTAATTAGTCAATTCCACCACAGAAATTGAATTTAACTTACTTATAAATTTTTGTCACTGCTAGCTACGTTTGCACGTATACTTAAATTTAACGTATTTTGTTAAACGTATCCAACGTACTTTGGTTTATATGTAAATATGTTTGTGATTATTAGCGTACGCATATGATCATGACTAGAATTGATTGCAATTCGGGACCCCAATACTTAATATGCACGACAAAAGAAAAGTTTTCGTCGCGATCAGGTTACGATTTGCAGTGACTAGTCTAGTCGTATCGTGTAACAGTTAGTATGTTCGAATGTTTTTGATATTACGTATTTTCGATGAAACAAATACAATTCTACTTTCTTGGGACTCTCTCAGTGGCCATATTGGCGATATTTTTTCGTATTATAGCTATTCTTCAAAGTAATAATGCTTGCGAGCTAGTAAACATAGCGATACCAAACGAAAGGTTTGGATTCTGCGGTTAAAAAAAAGTAGCCACAATGAAGATGACGACGACAACAACAACAAAAACAGGGAAACTGATACTTTTGCGACAATGCCGTGCAAAGCATTCTCCTTTTGATTTAATTTCTTTTTGTAGAACAATTTTCTGAAGTTGTTCGAAATGTTTAAGCCGGGCTCGTAAAAGGGGAACTCCTGCTTTTCGGGCCACTGGGCTTTCTTTACACACTGTATCGTTACTTCCGAATGGCAAAAAAGTTGAAAGAGTCTAGTGCTACGCGAAAGATGCTCGTCGTCGCTTACAGGGCGATCAGTAGTGGACTTGTCGGGGACTTTGTGATCCGTATGTATTTCGATTTGGTCTTCTGTCTGTATTTGTTTGCCTGTCTCTGAGATCACCTAAACACTAGCACCCAAAACGAACAACCCTGGTTCTTCCATCTGACCTTTTACGAAAACGTACGCATAATATAATTGTTCCATCGTGAATATACTGTAATAGGTACTTGATGCAGCGTCGGATCAAGGGGGGTTCAGGGGGGTCCCGTTAATTTTTTTTAAAAATAAATTTCAATTATGAAGATTTATGTATTTTGTTGTGCTGTATTACCCCCTGCTCTATTCTACCAAGGAGACCCGTGAAAATTGGATAGCCCTGGACTACAAAAAATCTTAATTCGGGCCTGACTCGATGGGACAAATTGTATAATGGTTTTGTAAAACGTCACATACACGATACAAAATCGTGGAATGGTTCGGAAATAAATCTCTATTGACGGTTTTTAAGTTTTATGTAATGCAAGCCCATTAATAAAAATAGGACTCTGTAGGGAACGGCCTGTTTTCAGTAACTAAAAGCATACTCGACGGTTTGTACTTGAATGAATTTCAAGACGGTCCTTTTTATATTTGTTCCTTCCACTATACACATAGTACATACGTGTACATGTAGTACGTATGCAGAATTTAGTTACTCAAACGATACGATTGAATCGAGCGTGCACATTCGTTTGCGGGATATGATCTTATATGGATTAACGTAATTGGTCGTCTATTTTTGCTGAAATATTCTGCAAGGGAACGAAATCACTAAAACCACGAAAAATCCATTGAGAAATATTTTCACAGTGTTTAGCAACCAACCATTTTAACGTGCAGCGTGCATCTGGCTTGTTAACATGGTCTAATATCTCGTCGCGAAACGTACATACACGTTTAAACGTTCATTGCATAATACACTGAATTTTGGACATGATTCGGTAAAGTAACACCGTTGGGGTTTCGCATCACGTATGGATTAGACGTAAGTAAAATTCCTGGTTGCGAAACATCATGAGAAGCCGTGCTCGCTGCTCCTTCTGGAACACCGCGTTCTATTACAGCATAGGTTCCGATTACTTGTGGTTGTTGTTGTTGTTGCTGTTGTTTCGAAGGAGAAGAAGGAACTTGCACAGAAGATGATGGCGAGCATGAAGACGAGGAAGAGGAGAAAGAACAGGACGAGGAACAAGAAGACGATGATGAAGATGAGGAGGACGACAACGAAGAAGATGCAGAGGAAGCGTTACAAGATGTTGAAACGGATTGAATAATTCCATGTGTATTCTCGGACAAGCGATTTGGAATCACGAGCTGAGAAGACGCCTGCTGTGATGTTATGCCCGTAATTGTCGGGAAAGGGGAATAGGGTGTAGTAGACATGGAGGATGAATACGAGGATTGCGACGGAGAAAATGGAGTGGCACAAGAAGCAATCGACGTAGAAGTAGAAGAAGACAAAAATGTTTGAGCCGATTGCAATTCGGACGATGGCGTGACAATCGTACGTCCCAAATGTAATTGATAGAAACAATAAGAATTTTCAGCGTTGACAAGTTCACTGCCAGCGAGGGTTGCACACTTCGATGGCGCAATCACGGTACTAGGGGACGAGGAAGAAGACGCGGCTATAGAGGACGTTGATGGCGGTAGACGATAAAATATAGGTTGATGGTGATGTCGATGATTTGGAGGACGATGATGATGATGATGATGATGATGATGATGATGATGATGATGATGATGATGATCAAGTTGCTGCTGCAACGAATGATTCATGGTACGAGGAACAGGAGAAACAACAGCGCCCGATATTCGAAAGTCTTCCGATGCCTGATGACGTTGATGTAAATGAAGATGCAAGGCTTGTTGCGTTGGTTGCAGTGTGACAGGATCAGAAGATGAGATCGGCGCGAGTCGGGAATCAAAAGGAGGAGAAGAAGAAGAAGAAGACGTTCCTGTGGACATAGAATGTACGCCCACCGAGCCAGGAGGAAGGGGAGGAATATTGGCTTGCGTGAAATTCGATATCGGCGAGAGTGAACGATTCCCAACATGATAATATCTTAATTGCTGTTGAGACGTAGACACTGATTGCGGTCGAGTTTGCATTTGATGGTCGTTTTTGTTCGATCGAGGGTAAGGATACCTCTCGATATGGGTCGCGTAACTAGCGGATGGATGAGCCGGTAGAATGCGTTGAATGTTTTGATACGTTGGATCGGATAGACCGTTATACGGAACAAAATACATGGTCCGGTAACACTTTCCGTTCGGAGGCAATTCGCTATTCATTGCGGGTATTATGTTGCAACGATAATTGGATAGAGTCGCTACAACTGCCGGTGTTTCTCTTCTTCGAACGTTCGCTGCAAGATTGTTCATGGAGTAATCTCTAGTAGTGAGAATACCATCCATTTCTTCGGCTCCAACTGCGACGCCTCTTGTGTGTCTTGCGTTAACCGCGTTCAACTGTTCTTGAAAATACTGTTGGCCGTTCCGTTGTTCCTGATAAAAATGAAACGCGGCATCGTTTGGCGGTAACGGAGCGTGTTGTCGCGTATACGAATCGTCCGTATAAGATCCACGTTCCAACGAAGTCGGCGCGTTAACGTTGGTATTCTCAACGATAGTTTGATAAATGTCATCAATTTGTTTTTGCATCGTGTTGATTCTGTTAATCGTGTTTGCGTCGCGTTCGTCTGTGGCCAAGTTACCGATAAAAGAGCGTGGGTTGGTGTCGTCGAGCGTCGTCTCATCGTATACTCCAATTCGGCCGTCAACCTGGACGCTATTGTTATCGTAATAGGTCGGCTGTGACGAATGGAAATTTGACTTGGACATGTTTGAAGTATCATTTTCTGGAACTGTCCGATGGAGAGTTTCAATCGATGTACGGTTTGGCAAACGTTGTTTAATACCTGTTACCGAAGGTCTACGATTAAAACCGTAATCATTCAATTCATCGTCATCGTCATCGTCGACGTCGTCGTCGTCGTCGTCGTCATTGTGGTCGTTATTGTCGTTGTTGTCGTTGTTGTCGTTGTTGTCGTTGTTTTCGTTGTCGTCATTGTGGCTGTGGTCATCGCCGTTTTTATGATTGGCGTTGCTTGGAATAATTGCTGTCGCGTCGTTTTTTCCGAAACCATCGTTCTTTTCGTCTCTCTGATCGTTGTTGCTGCCGTACCGGTAGTGATCCATACCACGTTGAGCGTCTCCATGGTTCTTATTCTCGTAAGTGTTGCGGTTGCTATTCGTAAGATCCTCGTGGTACGCAGGTTCGAATAGTTGCCGACTATCATCGCGTTCGTTTCGTCCATCGGCAATTCTCTCGGGTCTGTTGTCCACGCCGTAGGTGGTATTCATAGTATGCATTTTCGAAAAGTAATGATCTTCAACCTCGTTGTAACGACGTTTTATTCTTTCCGTTCTAAATTTGTCTTGTTCGACGAACGCGAGTAATTCGTCGGTTGTGCTGTCTCCTATATCGGGCCTGCTGATAAGTATCGGTGTACCTTTGGTAACATCCGGTGGACCTACATATGAGTTCCGTTCATCCTCCCGTAAGACTGCCTCAATGTCTTCCAAATTGTAAGGCGAAATGGTAGTGTTAAAATTCGCCACCGTGTCACGGCTTTCGTTGATCATCGTTCTAGAATCTTGACGATAATAATCTTCTTGAGTATCCGTGTTATTTACGGTTACGCACGATAACGGTGCTAAACTGGCCAAGAATTGTTTACGTACGTCCAAGTTATGTGTCTTTATCATAGAATTCTTGGATTGCTGACACTCTTTGACCATGTTGCTATGTTTCCCATTATTATTTCCTAGACCAAGATCCGGCATGTTTGAATTTTTCTTGTGTACAAACAAGTCGGTTAGCTTCTTATACGTCGATTGACTGTGCGATTGATCCGGGACAAACGCTGAACTCCCACAACCACCTCCGCCACATCCATTTAAGGAGTTCTGCTTATGATAATTCGAAGCCGTGATCGTTGTGGTTACAGATGTAAACGACGAATTCGAAGCTAAAAATGTCGTAGTCGTTGACGATGCTGCGGTGGTTGATATCGTTGCATCGGATAATTCACCGAATTCTGAAGTTATCGGTACCGGTGTTGGTAAAGTCGGTGGTAACGACTGTGGTAACGTCGACGTCGCTTTAATGTTCATAACGGTGGTCTCGTTTCGAACGACCGGCCTCGTCGTTGGGAATGCTACAGTTTCCTCTTGGCCCGACGGTGATCCGCGTTCCAGTAAGTCGGCTGGAATTTCTGTATAAATTGTAGAATCTGCAATTTTTGGCGAATTTGAACAGACTGATTCGTCCTCATCCTGATCCACGCAAGTGAGTTGGCGAATTCGTTCCTCCAAGGATAAACGCTTCGAAGGAGGGTTCTTCTTTCGAGAGGTTGAACGGTACTTCTCGAGGAGACTTCTTCGCAGCGTATTCCTTTCTATCGTTCTTTTAACTAGATTGGATTCGCCGTCGAAGGAATTGGAATTGCTCTGATTCTCCAAAGTTTTCGATCTTTTCACGGCATCGAGTAAACGTGAATTTTCAGTAGTAACGAGAAGCCCGAAACTATCGTCGTCCAAGTCATTAGGAGAATTTGTCAAAGAAATAGATAACTTACCAGGAGGGGCCGGGGGCGGCGAAACGAACTTTGGATTAGGAAATAATTGTCTGACGGCAGAATTTGGTTTCAAACTGTTACCTGCTAAGGAAGAATTGCCGATTTTGAATACAAGAGAGAGCTCCTTTATCTCCGATGACGTTGTTTCGTTTCGGGTGAGACGATCCTCCTTGGAGTGATCTTCGATCTCTTCGTTAGTCACTGGTTTCGTTGACATCGATTGTCGTATTTCGTTATATTTATCGGCAGTGTTGGGACTCGGTAAAGTTTCCTCGCAACGGGCAATACGTTCGACCGACTCGCTAACATCGTTGTTGACAATCTCGTGAGAAGCAGTAGTAACTGTTTCGGCGACGTTTTCCCTATCGCTCGTTTTAACGTCGTTGGATCGATTCGTATCTTCCCGCCGGACAATACATTCCTTTTCTTCACTGATTTCTCGCACGATTCGTCGTTCTGTGACAGTTGTCATGGTTATCGTCTCCACGAGATAACGATGCCGTCCCTCTACGAACAGAAAACATAAGTATACGTGTCGGCATTCAATATATATATATATACTATATATCTACACACACACACACACCACACGTACCCGTAGATGTCGTTCGTTGCAATTGTTCATTGATTCTCTTTCCGTTTCCAACGCTATCGTCGTCCTCTGTAACAGCCATTTTATGATCGTGCTGCGAACCGTCTTCGATTTCTGCACCTGTAATAGTCATGGTAGTTTGTTCATTTGGTCAACTATGCCGACAGAACTACATATCATGAAATAGAAAAATAAATATATTTTATATGTATAGAACGGAGCTCATTTTGTGTCAGGAATGTGTGCACGGTTTTATTCTTGCCACGTATCTACGTACCGTGAAAATACCGGAGTCACGCTAGGCTGTACTTCCGGTGAGTGTGAGTGTGCCGACGTGCATCGACATTTTAACGTTCGTGAACGCTGATAAGTATGTACGTACATATAGATATACATAATATGATATGTGACCAATGTTCACTCGTTAAACCTACTCTTCAACGTTACAAAGTAACAAAGAGGGCAACAGTTTTCGCGGTATGGATCTCTCAATAATTTTAAATAGCGCATAACAAAATGAAGTGGGTAAATACAGAGTTTTTCCGCGTATTTTCAATATGCCCATACAATAAGTAGGGTCGAAAGAAATGAATTACATGGGAATACGCACTATGGGTAGGTAAGTACATATATTGTTGCGCGCAGAACCATACTTTTCTCTAGTCCAAGCTCAATACGAGTTTCTTTATTGTTTTCTTTGTAAGCATCGATTTTCTATCGATTCATGATCACGAGAGAGAAACAAATATACGGGTATAAGACAGTTTTAAGCATATATTACTAACAATAAGTAAACGCGAGTGTTTATCTAGTCAATCTAGTGATTCGCACGAGTGTCGTACAACTCACCTGGAGTTTGTTGATATCGGAGATGATCAAACGTTGGTGGCGAGCAATGCGTCGTCCCGACGGAAAATTCACCATCGGAACAAACATCTTTGTAACCCTCTGGTGGGCTTAGTGTTTCCTGTTGCTGATGCTCTTGCCGTGGAGGCGACGATGAATATATCGTCCCATCTAAGGTCGGCGGTGGTGGAGGAGGAGGCGGCGGAAGCGGCGGCGGCGGCGGCGGCGGCGGCGGCGGCGGCGGCGGCGGCGGCGGTGATGACGGTACCGGTGGTGGCGAAGACGACTGAAGCAACGTTGATGACGTTGCCGTTGATATTGACGGAATAATACGTGCGTTCGTTTCGCGAATATTAGCTAACGCTATATGCTTTCGATTCCTATCGTATCCCCTACCTGCGTCGATTCTTTCTCGCTTATGTTTATCTCGCGCGTCCGTCTTTAGCACCATATCCACCTCTTTCGCTATTTCAATTTCTCGTTCATTAGTTTCCGATTCTCTGTTTCCCTCCTTTCTATCTACATCTTCTTCTATCGCATCGTCCACCTCCTCTTCTTCTCGATCATCTATTTCATCGCCATCTCCGTCTATTCCGTATTCCTCTTCTTCTTCATCTTGTTCCTCCTCTTCGTCATCGTGCAATTCCGTACAACCAAAACGTTCATCGTTGCAACTCGTTCCTTTGACAGGGTTTCTTCCGAGTGTTATCTCTTCGTCCCTTTCCACGCCACGGTATGGCGAAACGTTATCGTCCGAGATACCGAAATGGAGATTTAATTCGGCTCTACACTCTTTGCAATTTCCTAGCCGTAAAAATTCGTGCTCCTGACAGCAACAATCGCAGTCTTCTTCGTAATCGGGACAGCATTCCTCCTTTATCAGTATTATATAATCCGCCGCGAAGAATTCATTTAACTTTTCATTTATTACAACTCGATTCTTCTGCGATTTGTTCTTAGATTGTCCGGGTTTTTTCAACAGGGACTTGAGAATCTTCGCAGGCTGCTCCACCGGAAGTTTGCTTCCGTGCTCCTTCATTGTCGAGGCTTCTTTTCCCTCTCCTTTTTCCTCTATAGATATCTGTTGTCTCCGCTGTGTTTACGGTACTACAGTCCTTTCTCCCCGGGGTGTTGCGCTATTCGTCCTTTTCTGCTAACCGCCTTTACCGCCACTCGTTTCTCTACTTGGCCGCTACGCATGTATTATAAAAAGCAATTTCGATTTTGCATTTAAAAAAGGCACCTCGCATACACGCTTACTATTACGTTTAATCGATCGTCTACGATCGATGAAACGATCGTGTTAAGTGATGGTATCGTTAAACCTGCACACCATATTTTTTTCTAACGACGAACCTCCGATCAACATTAATTCGGAACGATATCTCGGTTCGTTATACGCATGCAGATTCGTGAACAGATATCAATACATCCAAAAGAAAGAAAGACTGCAGTGTATTGTCAGAACCATCGACCGTATTGTTGTACTTTTCTTTTTTTCATTCGAAACTAAAATCGATCGCATCCGTTCGATTACTTCGCAGACTGCGCGGAATCAAGCACAAAACTCCTCGGAGAATCCATTATGTAGAAATAGAATTGCATGTTCGTAACAATATCGAGCAATTGGTTTTCATTAGGAACGTCCATGATCATCTCGCAAACGGAGGAAAAAACAATTTCCTTGAAGAAACTTATCAACACTGAACTCGGTTCTTTCCACGTACACACGTTAAACAACAGCTAGTTTTTCATTACATTCCGAATATCCGTAACGAACGATTACTATTCGAAATATCGTCAGCGCCGTTATTATCATCAATATCTACTACACATACACACTGCACCGTCGTCGTCATCAACCATACCACCGTCCAAGTTGCCGTTGCCGTTGCCGTTGCCGTTGCCGTTTCCGTCGTTCTCGTTGTCGTTGCCGCTGTCGCCGTCGCCGTTTCAGATACTCTCCGAGTCAATGTCGCGTCGTTGCCGTCACGATCATCGCTTTTTATTTTCTCAAAGAATAGAGTAGTTCGTTGTTCCTGGTGCGCAAGCGAATGCTCATTTTCAGCGACACCACGGTTTATCGATCCCGGACAGTGAACATGGACGTACTTCTAAACGCGACACGGCTCGTAATCGTGTGGTTGTTCTCGTTACGATTTGTGCATTCATCGTAAATACATATGCACGTTCATACATTTTTATGTACGTTCGAACCTGACTCGAGTTACTCGTCTAATGACATTTCATTGTCAAAAGAGATAATTATACGCGCACTACTTAGTCTTGATTAATATCAAAATTTTTATGTGGAAATGTGAATAAACGACGTAACACGGCTGAACGGCACGATAGAACATTAACTTTACATGACATATACATATATAACTACCGTTTTGTTCAACGATTGAGCAGTAACGATCCTGTTGTACGTGATGCGTTAACCGCGACTACCTTCACTATGCGAGCCGTGTAGG